AGCCTTCAAATCATGCCTTGGCAATTGTTGCCCCCGGCCAACTTAAGTTAGGTACCAGCACAAGGCAGGTAACCGTCTCGGGAAATGTTTTGCTCAGCGGATGGACGACGAGGGTGGAGCAGGTGGTTGGCGTTTGTTTGCCCGCCTGACCTGGCACGCCAGCCTACCACTAGATACACGCTATGATCTGTGCCTTGCATCCCCCGGCCGGGTTTCGATTAGCATGTGCGATGCGGTTCGCCTGCAGCTGGCGCTGCACCAGTCCTGTTGCTTTCCAGCCTGCGACTAAGAGGAAACCGTGTTGTAAATGTATTCTCGGGTATCAAACTCGTTTTTCTGAGGGAGGGCAGATGAAGGGAAAGGGCAACAAACACGCCCAAAAGCATTGACCCGCACGCACCATCATCCCTGCTCAGTCAAGTCGTGGCAACCCCGAGAAGGGCTATCCCAACAGCAAGTCTGGGCTCTCCATTATCGCCCAATATGTAATATAGATTGAGTGGGTATCAAATCCGATATGCCAGTCCTCCCACGTGTTCGTAGAGAACCCAACCCGAGCCGAGAAACCCCACTAATGCGTCCAAGGCACAACCATCTCCCGACATGCCCTTTTGCGCCCACCGCCGAGGACACTGTGCGAAAGGACAGAAAGAAAATACAGCGATAGCCTCCCTATCTAGCAGATGGGGCAATGTCCCAGAAGTCCGCAACAAGAAACAAATGAAAGGCAAGAGGCCCAATTCAGGAAATCATCAAGAGAAAGAGAGAACAACATAAAACCTCATAACAGAAGTCAGATAATCGGCATAGAATGGGTATCGGACGAGCGAGCGAATTCGTCAAAAGTTAAAGGCAAGAAGCAAATAAAATGCCATGAAGGCAGACAGAGATCTTGATGCAACGAGCGTGGTGCGGCGTGATATCATGCAGAAAATACAAAAGAAAACAAAACAGCTATGCTTAAGAGCGAGAGGGGAGGGCGGACGGCTAAAGGAAAGATTCGTAGCAACTCATATTTGGGTAGCTGAAATGAAGTTCCCGTCAAATGACAAAAGGAAAGAGAATAAAAAGGAGTAATTCCAACTAATCGACGACCCTGGGAGGGACAGATCCGCCACCGTCCCGATGCTGTGCTGTTGCCCCCAGTTGTGCAAGTCGCCGGAAAGGGAAGAAAGGATAAAGCCAAGGCCATACGACGAAAGGAAACAAAGGTAGGAAGAGGGTGGTCGTCAGGTCGTGAATGGGAAGATGAAGAGATAGATATCGTAGTGGCTAGATAGCGCAATGCGTGTATCGTTAGGCCCTGATTTGACCATGTCGGTATGTCCAGACCGGAGCCGCAGACACCAAGACCCACGTCCCTGACTGGATCTTGCGCCGGAACCACTGCTGGGCCTAATACGCTGCAGCAGTTGAGCCTTCGCTGGTGGCTACGGCAACTAGCGCCTCGAGACGCCTCATGGACTCGGGCTGGGACGGCCTCTCGGATTCCATCTCGACGTCGCGATCCCGGGGCGATGAGCTTGTCGCGGTTGGCCGAGGCTCCCTAGCGGGGAACCCAGCGAAGCCGTTGGCAAGGTTGGGGTGAATCATACGATCAACCCGAGGGCCCCTCGTGGGCTGCTCCGGGACCTCGCTGAGGCCAGACGTGACCGGGCCGTGGTACCACCCGTGCCTCTTAGACTCGCGGGGGGTGGTAATGGAAGGCGCCGACATTGTGTGCTGGTGGTGGTAGCCACCCCGGTAACCGCTGTGCGGTGGAACTCCAGCCGAGTGGGGAATCGAAACGACGCGAGGCTCAGGCTCAAACCTAACCGTCGGCTGAGCGCGCACCTGCTCTGCCTGTGCCTGGACCGCACTGTTCACCTCGTTCGCCCATGCGCCGGCACTGTCCCTGGGAGGTGTGTTTGCGGCGAGGTCGAGCTTAGTCAAGCCCCGATGGAGGCCCATATCCCACTGTGCGAGATGACGGTCCTCAGCAGCCAGCGACTCCGACATGTGGCCGGGAGCGTTTGTCATTTCCGAATCTACCATCATTGGCGAGGAGATTCTTCGTGGTGAAGCGCCTGGCGGCCGGATCGGATCGAATGACTCGATGCCCGGGAGTCGCACCGTTGGCTGTTGACCTGGGTTGGGAGCCAACGCCAGCGGTGGCGCAAGCGCGAGTGCGGCGGGTGTAGGCGCAGGCGCAGGCGCCGGCAGAGGCGCGCTCTGGAGCTGGCCGGGGGTGATAACGTTGCTCAACCTGCTGCCTCCTGCGCTGTATTCTCTGCTGTCTGGATGCCAGGTCCGGCGGCGCCAGGCCTCGTCAGCTGCACTTGACATAGACTCCCGCCGAGGATAACCAGCCGAAGATAACGTGGGCGATGAGATCATGCTGCCAGCCCCCGACGAGAAGACTCCCGCGTTGGAGGCATTTATAGCACCAGCCCCAAAGACCGGCCTTCCCAGGGCACGGTTCTGCGGGGAGTGGAACGGGTTCCCGGCAACCGAAGGGACACTAAGCCTCCTGCCAGGAGTGCGGCTGCCCGAGGCATACATGCTGTGGGCGCGCGAGTGAGCCGACGCGGGGGACGCCATACCAGACCACCGAGGACTGCTCTGCCCAGTCGAGAACGTGCCAGAGGTAGGGGTGCTGAACTCGCTTGGAGAAGGGGCGCGGTAGGAGAACTGGCTGTCAGCAGCGCTGCGATACGACTCTAGAGACAGTCTGGAGCGAGGATCGGCCATGACCAAGGGCGGAGGGCGGCGGCGACCGGCAGGGTCATCGCGAGGGCTATAGCTCCCCAGAGAGCCGATGCTGGTAATGCTAGAGGTGGACAGCGATTTTGAGTGGCCGCGTGGGGGCGTGCCGACGCTCCCAGCGGTTGAGGCCCTTGCTCGACCGTTCTGGCGGGCTCTGCTCTCTTGACGCACTTGGCGGACAAAGCGGGTGCTGACCGCAGCCAGGGAATCCATCGGGATATCTTCGTTGACGTGGACAGTCTGGGCGTGCTGTCTGAGATTGTCGAGCCGCGAAAATCTGCGGGAACAGTGGCATTGGAATGGCCTCTCTCCCGTATGTTTCCTGTGCGAGACACAGGCCCCAAGTTAGAAGGACCATTCGCTAATTGTATGGGCGTGCTTGGGAGCATCAGCAGGTGGCGCCGCTGGATTGGTAAACGTACCTGATGTGTCGGGCCAGGTGCTCGCTTCTGGTAAAGCTAAGGTTGCAGGGCGGGTAGTCGGTGCAGTAGAAGCGCTGCGACTTCTTCTTATTTTTTGACTTTGTGCCGTCTGCATTTACACTGTCGTCGTCAGAGCCAGCATCGTCGCCGGCGCCATCCTCCCCATCCGAGTCGTTCATGTCGACATCTTCCGAGTCTCCCGACTTCCTCGAGTGCTGCGAGTTTTGGCGCCTCGGCAGCGTCTTTTCGGGTGGCTCAGGAAGCTGCACGGCTTGTGGAAACGGCGAGGTCGGCAGGGGTTTTTGCGAGGCCAGGGCGGCGCTTGCGCCAGCTGCTGCTATTGTGGCGGCGTCGCCGCTATTCCTGAAGGTTGCCCTCGTGGGCGTTGTCGCATCATCCATGACGCTGGATGGGGTTGGCGGGTTAGCGGCGGCCGAGGTGGCGTCGAGAGCCTTGGGCGGGTCGTTGGCGGATTCCGGCATCTCGGGGGCATGATTCACTGAACGGAACGTGGAAGCCATGGTCGAACTCTATGTCGAGAGGAGGCGGTGGTTCTGAGAGACGGCAACCCAAACTCAGACTCGGGGGAGAGCGAGACAGAGAGAGGGGGCAAAAAGATGGGGTGTGAAGAAGAGGGACTCGAGAGTGAGGACACGACGGACAAACAGCGCGGGGCGGTCGCACGTATGTATGTCTTATGTGATCCAGTCCTGGTGAGGCTGAGAGATCGACCAGCCAGACACAGCACAGGCCAGCCAAAAAAAAAAAGAAAAAAAGGAAGTCGAGGAAACAAAACAAGCTGGGGGTGCGTGCGTTTTTGCCAGGCCCAGGGTCGACTATGCAGCGGGCCCTCGCGGCAGGAGGGTATAGAGTGCCGATATATGCCCGCTAGGGTCGATCTTTTTCTGGCCGACTAGGGAGACAAAATAGTAGGAAGGGGTAATGCCGTACGGGTGTTTGAAACAGATTAAAGGGAGAAGAAGGGAGACAAGAACGTCGGGGCGGACAGCGGGACAAGGAAAGGAGGGGGAAGGGAGAGGTGTGAGATGCCGAGCGTCTTCATTCGTCAAGATTTTTGTTTGTTTGACCTTGATTGTGGGGATGGGCTTCTTTTTTTTATCTTTTTTTTTTTCTGTCCCCTCTGCACCCTTCTCCTTGTTTATTTGCCGGCCGCGATGGTCGTTGGATTGTGAGAAATGGGGAAGCTGGGATAGGCAGTCCAGAACGGCAGATGGGACTGGGTGGTGCTGCGAGTTGTGTGCGCGCTGGGCGAGACAATCGAGGAAGGAGGAGGAAAGATTCAAAAAAGGCAGGAGGAAATCAGAAAATAAGAGACAGCACAAGTCTGTCTGACAAACACGGCGGCGGCGGCGGCGGCGATGGGATAGAAGTCAGTCAGGCCAGCAGATCGGATTTGGGTGCGGGCGGCTGGCGTCACTCTCCAAACACGACGGTGCCTCGATGGCTGGGCTGGCCGGGCTGGGGGGGCAGGGGGGAGGGGGGTGGGAACGCAGCGCAGCAGTCAGTTTCGGGTGGCAGCGGAGGTGGGGGATTGGATCTGATGTTGACGCAGGACGGACGGAGGAGCAGGCACAGCAACAAGCACGGGCACCTGCCGCCCTGGGAAAAAGGTACTGAGTACGCACAGAACAGGTACGCAGGCCAGCGGGTACCACTGCCAGACTAGGAACCGGGCGGGCAAGGCACAGGTGGGCAATTGGCCAAGCCCAGACTGGGACTGGGCGGACAGGGGCAGCAGCAGGGCACCTAGGCAGCCAGGCACACGATCCCAGGAGGGGTGTGCGCAAATGGCGCAGACCGGAAAGGCTGGAGGGAGGGAAGGCAATGGGAAGGGAAAGGGAAAAGGGAATGAGAACATGAAAGCAAGCAGGTCCCAGTCTGTGAGCACCAGAAAAGAGGCGGCGGCGGCACGTTACGAACTGGGTTGAAGCTGGCTGGGCGACCTGGAGCTGGCCACGGACAACCCTTCAAATGGCGTGCGGGGTTGAGAGAGACAACGGCCAGATGGCAGGAGGGTGAGGGAGCAACTCTGGACGATGGAGTTTATTTTCCTTTCCCCTTTTGATTCCCTTCCTCACCCCCGTCCCGCGCTGTCCCCAATCTTCCAGTTCCCTTTTTTTTTTCAATCATCATCATTCCAGTCTGTCGTGCGTGTTTGCGTGTGTCGTGCGTCCGCTGCTGCGTCCGCTTCTGCGTCTTTCCCCTCTATGCCCTCCCCCACGCAGCCAGGCCAGCAGGCTTCTACGCAGGGCAGGCGGGCAATGTGGCAGCCTCTGTTGGTGTCGACCAAGGGCGTGGAAATCAGTCAGCGGGGCAGTACTGCAAGGTACCTCGAGTCCTGTTGGCCCGTACCAGGTCCTCGACGCAGGTTGGCCGCAGCTCGTGGATGGGACAGGAACAGAGGTGACGGCTTGCCCGTTTTAGGCATGGCGCTGTGATGGTTGCATTAGGAGGGGTTGGCAGGGGGGCGGCAAGTGAGCGGATGACGACGAGCATGGATGATGAATAATAAGCAGCGACCCCTCTGTGTTTCCCTTACCCCTGCTCCTGCCCTGGGTCGGTCCCGCTGGCGAGCACCAGAGGCACCACCCACAGAGAGGCACAAAGAAGCGCCCAGAGAGGGACCAGAGGAGAGCCCACGCCCCAGCCGATCGGATGCCGCCAGTGGGTCCGCCCTTGGAAACGCCAGCAGGGAAGCCTGGCAGGCCCAACAGGGGAGGAGGGAACAAAATATGGGGAGCCGTGAGTGACATGAGACACGTCGGCCTTTTTTTATCTTCCATACCGCCTTACTGCCGATTTTGCTTTTGGGCGCAGCGGTCAATCACGCACGGTGGGGATGTTCCTGGCGCTGCACGTCCAAGCGTTCCGCCTGGGAGCCTCCCAGCACTCGACCAAAATGTGACCAAACATGATGCCGTTCCGCAAAAATAGTCCCGCCCAACTCGGTCGCTTCGCCTCAACTCTCGTCCGTGAACCGCCAGTCGATGCCGGTCGAGGCGTCGCGGTTGTTGGTAAATGCACTTCCCAGCTGGGATTCTGCCCTTTTGGGCCTTCATCGTTGCAATTCCCCTGGAATGCCACCCATCGCATGAGTGGAAGAGCACGGGGGCTCACATCCCGTATCCCTCTGCCCACGAGGCAGCCCAGGAATAGATTAGGTAGCATCTGCCAGGCACAGCGCCCGAGTGCCGAGCGCCTCGACTGACTGGCTTCCACGGACTGCCTGCATCTCTTTCGCCCCGAGTGCCTTCCCTTACCTGCTTGGCTGACTCCCGCTACTGCGGTGTAAAGGGGCCGAGGCACGCCTTGCAGGAGCTGGCGGCTTGATCAGCCCACGGTGTCTGGCCTGGCAGTAGAGCGGCCAGGGCGTCGGGTAGGGGGAGCAGGCCATTGAGAAACATTCTCAGGGCGGCAGCGGGGAATCAGATGCCACAATTGGATCCAATGAACCGTTCGTGGGCGGCAGCTTCTTTTCCAAGTGGGGGTCTGCTTTTTGCCTCATTCAATGGAATCCTTCGCGAGCGAATCAACGAATCGCGATGCGCAAAGGGGCCAGCCAGCCTACCACACTGGTACATATGCGCTCGGAGATAAAATGCCTGGCTTGCGGGCATCCAGGGCCGCGGGTGGGCGGGCGCGCCGCCTTGAGGTGATGCATCGGTCAAGCGCAGGAACCAGCCACACCATACCGTCCAGGCACTCGTCCCGGGGAAAAAGCTCGCAAGGGCAGGACGCGCAGATATGCCAACGAAACCGTCACGAGGCCACCATGGCAATATCACGAATACAACCACCTCCCCGAGGCAATCTGCCCTTTTCTTATCGGTATATATGTCCAGCCAGGCAATCAACAACCAATATCTGCAGAGGCCGTTTTCGTCGGCTGCACCCAACCGCCCGTGGTATCTGACTTGACACCGGTGCGCCGTTGCAACAGGGGACGAGGTTGTGTTGCTCCGGCGCATGGCTGCGAGACCGCCTGCCTGCTGTGAACCGAGGACTTGAAGAGGTGCTGACCGGCCAACAGCGAACTTCCGCATGAGGGGTCAAACAGAAGGGAGAGAGGGGACCCCACCGGCTAGTATTCGTACTGCCGTGGCTTGCGCCTTGGCATTCCTTCGTCTGCCGTATGCTGCCGTATGTTTCAATCTGTGCCCATCATCTGACCCCCGTCCACCATCACACGGAATATCGACGCCCCCTGGATCCAGGCAGGTAGGCGACGGCATAGATAGTGTTTGGTATCTGGTTCCTGGTGCCTGTGCTGGGGGTGTGGGCTTGGTGGGCTTGTGGCCTTTGCATTCACACAGGTTGAGACACAGGCCGACAAACAGCAGCATCAACATGGTATCACCAGCCATGGAAGTAACCATGTGCTCAGTATCCTAGGAACCCGTATGCGGGCTCGAGTATGACGGCGAACGAGCGGCCACTCACAGAGCGTGCACCGGCTTCTTCTGTGCATGGCGATCGGGTCTGGAGTGTTCTGGGCTGGCTTCGATTCGCTTCGGTCTCTTCGGTCGCCGTCGAAGCAGGATAGCAGTTGTGTCGAGCCCGCCCCGTCTTCGTCCCAACCCCCCTCGCCTGCGCCTGCCGTGCGCGGCACTTTGGGATTAAACAAGCCAACCCACAGGCGACCCGGAGTCATCCGTCCTCGGGACCTGGCCGCTGCTCTACCGTTGTGCTCCCCGCGCCGATAGCGCTTCGATATGCGAGCAGACAGGTGAGAAATCCACCCCGTGTGTCTACTAGGTGGTCGGCGTCTAAAGGGGCGTTCCTGGGGCCCGTCTCGAGTCAGGCTGCCGATCGCAGATGCATGCTGACGACACAGGCGGGTCGGTCATGTACGGTGCCCGAGATATTTACCAGTGGGCGCTGGGGCGTGCTGATGTTCAATAGATAGTGAGACGTTTCTAAACCATGCAGCCTGCAAATATACACCTATATCTCCTTCTGTTATCTCTCGCCCTGCGCGGGTAGACGCGGGGTACATAAACGTGGGTAGCAAAAAATGAAGACCAGCTGGCGAACTCGAACCCACTCGCCCAAAGTACCGCGGGGCTTTTAGTACATGCTGCGAGTTACCTGCTACCCACAGTCCCTTCTCCGTTCCTCCCTCTTGACACTTGAAACAAGAGAAGCATTCCGGGCCTTGTGCTTGTGCCGCGGGGACCGACCTGTGTGCGAACCCGTGGGACAAGAATGCCTGTCCGGCTGCTCTGCGCTGCACCGTGTCTGCTTCTGTGCGCAGCGGACAGCCCGGTATAGGCAGGTGCCATCCCCCGAGTCTGGGCTGTGTGAACAGGGTCGGATGGCCGACTGGACGCCAGAGCTGCATGTATGGCAGCCAGCGTGCCAGACAGAAAGACGACACGACAGAAGAGTCGTCAGCATGTCGTGTCCCCATGCTCTTTTTGTCGCTTCGCGTCTGGTGCTTGTCAGCCTCGCCGGACACCGCGTTCGCTTTGCCTTCTTCCACGGCAAATTCCGTGTACCATGGCCATCTAAAGCATCGTGATCTCAATATTTAAAGCCGGTGCTAAAACATGGCTGACGGTAGTGGCTTGGTTACGTGGGCGACTCTGTATGGCAAGACACCAGCAAAAGAGAACCTTGTTTGCAATACGTATGCCATTTGTTCTACCCGCGCCGCCCGCTGCGAGGCACACCCCCTGGCCGACACGCAGCGACGGATAGACGTCGGGATTCAGGGTTCGTTCCGCCGTCTCGGAGAAGTCACATGCGAGCTTGGCTAGAAGCATAAGCGCTAGTATCATGGGGAACTTGGATGGTAATGCGGGCTTCCCTCCAGAGCCCTGCACGGCATGGTCATGCGTAAAACGCACTACCCACCGCCCTGCCTCCGCAAACTCTGACGGGTCGGAGAGTCAGCCCCCGGCCTGGCTGGGCCGACGGATCCCAAAGCGGCAGAGATGAAGACCGCTTCGCCTGCGTCCCCCGGCTCGGCAGAGCGGCCGAGCGGACAGGCTGGCGTCTCCCGGGTTCAGATAGAGGCAGGGTCAGAGTGCACAGAAAAAAAACGCCAGTGTCTTTTTTTTTTTTTCAACTTCGGACTTGATGCCAGAGTTTCCTCGACTCGATGTGGGAATCTCAGCTCAGGTGCTGGCGGGCGATCGCTACGTGCAGACGGGACGGCTTGGTGCGGGTTTCCCGCCCGGCTCGGAGTGCCACGGTCCTTTGGCCAGAAGGAGCGTGGATCGCGACGAGCAGAGGCACCGGAACTTGACAGACCACTAGGTGTGGGCCCTCGCGGCGCGGGTGCATCCATTAAGAAAACGTTGGGCTCCGTTGCCGATCCCGTCTTGCGCATCTCCCGTCTCGTCTGGCTAAGGGTGCCGTCGATCACGGCCGGAGGCTGGGCTGGCACTGGCTGGGCTTGAAACGGGGGGGATGGTGGCTGGCATCAAGTAGCGAGATGACATAATCCGGTGCGGCGTACACAGACACACGAGGCGCGACTGAAAAGTTAGAGCAAGTTTGAAAGAAAAAAAGAAAAACGAGAAAAGTCGAGAAGAAATTATCCCGACAAGGGGAAGTTAAAAAGTAACTGTGCACTAACACGCGAGGCAAAAGGAATGCAAGGTCCTACTGGGAATCGAACCCAGATCCTGAGGAGGTCTTATTCAGAACCTCATGTGCTAACCATTACACCATAGAACCGATTAGTCGCTTGATTGCTGTCTGGCCGGTGGGCTTGGTGGGATTATATGGGACACAATGCTACTTACGCAAGTCATGCAGAGTAAGCTCAGATACGCACCTACCTATTCCCAAGGGGTCACATGCAAATCACAGGCTGTTTAAACCGGGCGGGTGGGATATAGTGGCTCGGTTTCCACGGTCATGTCGGCTTCACAGACCCCAATCACGGGAGAGTGATGTCCCTCGTTGGCATCAAACACTTTCTTTAGGTAGGTGGGACAAGGTTCGATGTAGGTAGCTCTCTCGGCAGAAATATCACCTGAGGCTGTCTGTTTGCATGACATGCTTGACATACCCAGGTTGCCAGGTACCTAGGCACACCCACACTGACTGTTGAGGTTTCTGCACTGGCTAATGTAGCTGTCACCATGGACCGCCGTAGTTGGTGGGGCAGGGTTGTGGATTTGACATGACGAGCATCATCTTCACATGGCCTCAACTCAAGCACTGACTGGCCAAGAGTAGGCTTGCAGGATTATACGGGTGACAGGCGCAACGAGCACCATAACCGCATCTTGCAGTTGCATGCCGAGCTCTGCGAGCATGCGCCAGGGCGGCCAGCACTGCGTGTTACCGAGGACACGCCGATCGGGTCTCGAAGGCATCACTCGAGGAAAATAGCGCAAAGAGAAAAGATGCGTCGGAATCCAGGCCCCTGGCCGGCCTGAGGGAAATAAATGCGCTGTGTTGGTTCTCGCTAGTCGCGAGAGTGTGTAGGGCGGATTCAGGCTGATCTTGCCGAATTCTTTCAGGTCTCTTTCCCCTGCCCCTTTTACCTTTTCCCTGGCCTGGTTGGTGATAAGACCAAGTCCGCCGGAGATGAACCATACATATGCTCCCTTTTGGGCACGCCCTGCTCTCTCAGCTGTCTACTAGGTAAATTTAGCTGCACTTAGAGCGTCTAATCGGTGGAGACAAGCGAAGCCGTCTATCTGGCAGAATGCACATGCCTTTCCCCTGATACCATACACCAGCCTTTACGTGGTGCTACTAGTCGTGACAGAAAGGAATGGCCGGGTCTGGCGCAGCAAGGAGCCCGACACTCACCGCTCCTCTCATGTTGAATGGGTTGGTAGCGGTCGGGCTGGCATATTTGGGCGGGGTGGTCTCAATTTGACTGCGGCCGGTTAGCAAATGTCGAAATTACGTCAGTTTCCATCTCAGCCTTTCATAGAAGCTCAAGAACCCCACTCTCTGCTCCCTCATCAACCGATCTACGGCGTTGTTATGGAACCTCCATTGACCGCAATACGGAACGGGAGCTTGTCTGATTCTACTTCATGAAGAGTCTGAGGTAGGTGCCCAGCAACTGTGGACGATGGCCAACAAAATCTTTCAGTTATCTCCGGCGGATGCATTGGTGGGGCAGTTGGCATCAATGCCCTCCTTATTCGCGCCCCTCCGCAGCGAGGATGCCCGACATTGGGTCTATCTGATGTGCCTCGAAGCCGCAAGAGAAGCCGCAAGAGCCGCCATGGAAGGTTGAGGGTGTGGTCGGGCGCGCCACGCGGGAGGCACACCCTGGTCAAAGGCTCGCAGGGCTACCTGCCTGCACAGTAGATACGGCTCTCAACATAGGTGGCCTGCATCGGCGAAGCATTCAGGTCTCCTCCAACCAAGCGACATGGCCCGAAAGACCCGCAAGCAAGGATAATTTGGGCGGAGTTGGCGGTCCAGAACCACGACGGGCAGCGAGCGATGCACGCTTGCTCGAGGGGAGCCACTTCGCGCGACACCCCTGCAACCCTGACCTCACGACTGCGTGTGCCTGCTGTAAGTGGTTGGTGCAAGCTCTTCTGAAGGCTGCCGTGAGGAATCGATATCAGCGAGCCGATTTCCCCAGTGAGGCGAGTTCTGCGCTGCTCGTTTCCCCGTCATCGCCAGGCCTAAAAGTCACCTTCGACGGTGAAAAAAAGGAAAGAAAAAACTTAATCAGCGCCTTTCATCTGTGTTCGGCCACGACCGCTTTCACAATCTATCTCTCGCCGCAGTTTCGCCAGTCGCCGCCGTCGCACAGAGACGGCCGGTACCGCTCCCATCTGCACCTTCCTTCCTGATTCTCTCGTCTTGTTCTCTGGGCGATCTTTTATTCGCTGGGAGCCAACCCCTCCCTGCCGCAGCACTTGGCTTCTGCTTCTTCTCCTTCATCTGGACTAACAAACTCATCTGCCACCTAATTGGCATCGTTGGCTTTATTATTACTCTTACCTCTTTTCAGCCTGCACTTTGATCCGATTTTAGTTTCTCAAAATAGGCTCGGATTGTCTCCCTGTCATTCACGTCGGTCAAGCCAGCGTTGCCCCTCGGGTTAGGAGGCGTACCCCAGAGGCAGCGTGCAAGCCAGCGCAAGGGCAGCCTAGGAAGGAGCTCGGGCCTGGCGACCCCCACCCCACCGACACGAGTAAAACCTCACGGAGCCAAGCTATTGCAGCACAGGCCTGGACACGATGGCCCCTCCGTCGGCGATTAAGACGGGCTCTGGCGACGGCGAATCCCCGCTCCCGCCAGCTCTCGACGACTCCATCACGCAGGTCCCCGTAACCCCAGGAATTCACGGCAACACCTACTTCGAGGGCCGAGAGGACGATAAGGAGGACGACTACGACGAGCGTGGAGAACGCCGGGGTTACTTTGGGCCACAGCTCCGCGACATGGTCAGCTCGCCCGTTGGCCTCGGCCTGGGCGATGACGGCTTGGGCCCCCAGGCCGCCGATTCGGCGTCCGCACCCGACCCCGAAATCCGCAAAAGGATAGGAATGCCGAGGGCAGCCACCCGCAAGGAGTCGTTGACCAACATACGCGCCCTCAACCCCGACTTGTCTCTGAGCGGCAACATCATCTCCGCCACCTTCAACATCCCCTATTCGCTCGAGTATAGGAAAGGCGCCGACTGGGTAAGCCACTGTGCTCTCCCGTCTTGAGCCCCGAGTCCGCTGCTCCCTTGCTCCTTCGTCGCGACTGACTGTCTACCGTACACCACGCAGATCCTCAACCCGCGCCGAGGCCAGTCGGCCCTGTTCGACTCGCTGTCACACCTGTCGTCGGATAACACACCCTGGAACCACACCGTCGTCGCGTGGACCGGCGAGATCGAGCCGCCTAAGGACCTGCCGTCGCCTCCGCAGACGCCCCCGGCCACCACAGCAAACCTTCCCGCTCTTAATTCGCTGTCCAAGCCCATCCCCGTTAATGGCGAGGCCCCCGCACCGGCGCCTACACTTGCCGAGGGCTTGTGGATCCCCCGTGAGGACCAGCACCGCCTCGAGAGCCAACTGTCGCACGACCCGAGGATTAAGACCGTCGCCGTTTGGCTCTGTGACGGTAATGAGGTTACCGAGGATGGCATCACGCTCAAGGACCAGGCGCGGTGGAGGCGCTTCGCGGAGCACGAGCTGTACAACCTTTTCCACTACAAACAGCACGAGCCCAACGACGGCCGCAAGGAGCGTGTGCAATGGGCCGACTACTACCGCATGAACCAGAAGTTCGCCAACCGGATCATCGAGATCTACAAGCCCGGAGACATCGTCATTATTCACGACTACTACCTCATGCTGGTTCCCAGCATGCTGCGCCAGCGCGCCCCCCATATATACATCACATTCTTCTTGCACTCGCCCTTTCCCTCGAGCGAGTTCTTCCGCTGCCTGCCCCGCCGCAAGGAGGTGCTCGAGGGAGTGCTGGGCTCCAACTTGATCGGCTTCCAGAGCTACAGCTACTCGCGCCACTTCAGCAGTTGCTGCACCCGCGTGCTGGGCTACTCTTCGGACGCCAAGGGCGTGAATGCCTACGGCGCGCGCGTTGAAGTGGGTGTTTTCCCCATCGGGATCGACGCCCTCAAAGTCGAGAGCCTGGCCTGGAGTGATTCTGTCAACCGCCTGAACACGGATCTACGCGAGAGGATTAGCCAAGGCCGGAAGCTGATCGTCGGCCGCGACCGCCTCGACTCGGTGCGGGGTGTCGCCCAGAAGCTCCGCGCGTTCGAGCGCTTCCTTGAAAACTACCCGGAGTGGCGTGACAAGGTTGTGTTGATCCAGGTGACGAGCCCCACCAGCATCGAGGGGGAGCAGGAGGACAACAAGGTCAGCACCCTGGTCAACGAGCTGGTCATGAGGATCAACGGTATGTACGGAAGTCTGGGTTTCGAGCCCGTGCGCCACTTCTCCTCGTACATCAGCCAGGACGAGTACTTCGCCCTCCTTCGCGCCGCCGACATCGGCCTCATCACCAGTGTCCGAGATGGCATGAACACCACCTCGATGGAATACGTCATCTGCCAGCGCGACTCTCACGGACCCCTGATTCTGTCAGAGTTCTCGGGGACCGCCGGTAGCCTGCGCGATGCCATCCACATAAACCCCTGGGACTTCACGAGCGTCGCCGACGAGATCAACCGCGCCCTGACCATGGACAAGGAGCAGCGCAAGAAGATGCAGACGGAACTCTACAAGCACGTTACCGCCAAGACGGTACAGGAATGGGTCACGGGGCTCGTCACCCAGCTTGTCCACGTCCTCGGCTCTGGCCAAAACACCATCACAACCCCGCTCCTGGATCGTGCAGACCTCCTGCGGACTTACCGCGCCGCTGGCAAGCGCCTGTTCATGTTCGACTACGACGGGACCCTAACGCCCATCGTGCGTGAGCCGAGCGCCGCCGTCCCCACCGAGCGCCTGCTCCAGACCCTCAAGGCCCTCGCGGCCGATGAACGGAACGCGGTATGGATCATCAGCGGCAGGGACCAGGACTTCCTCTCTGCCCACTTGGGCCACATCGCCAGCCTGGGGTTCAGTGCCGAGCACGGCAGCTTTATGAAGCACCCCGGCAGCGATGAGTGGGAGAACCTTGCCGACAAGTTTGACATGGGCTGGCAAGAGGAGGTTATGGCCTGCTTCCAAAAGTACACGGAACAATGCGAGGGTGAGTTTCTGTCACTGATGAACTCTAAAAACCCCTGTCTGCCCTACTGATTGACTGACTGACCATCTCATTTTACTGCGTCAGGCACCTTTATCGAGCGCAAGCGCTGCGCCCTGACGTGGCACTACCGCCTCGCAGATCAAGAGCAAGGCCCCAAGATGGCTCGCGACTGCCACAAGGAGCTTGAGGCCACGGTGGCGAGAAAGTGGGATGTCGAGGTGATGCCAGGAAAGGCGAACCTGGAAGTCCGGCCGACGTTCATCAACAAGGGCCAAATAGCTAAGCGCCTGGTTCTCGAGTACAACGCCGGCCTCGTTGCCGAGGGCCGAGACAAGCTCGGCTTTGTGCTCTGTATGGGTGACGATTTTACCGACGAGGACATGTTCCGCTCGCTCAACACGCTTTCAGTGCCCGCTGACGGCGTTGCCGAGCCCGAACTCAAGACGAAGCACGTCTTCAGCACTACTGTCGGGCCCAGCACCAAGGTCACGCTGGCGCGCTGGCACCTGCTCGAGCCCGAAGACGTAGTCGAGTGCGCGGCGCTATTGGCTGGCGATTCCGACGCAGCATCCCTGTCCGCGGTTGGCAACGGCGTCGCTGAGACCGTGAAGCCACTTGGCATCAGCGAGAACAACCTGGCCGCACTGAGTGAGGTTGAGGGAAGGGTTCCCGATGTCCTATAGCGCCCGCCCTTTGCCAGCAACCAGGCGTCAGTTTGTAGCTAGCCTCGATGGGTCTTTGGCTCATTCGGGCTCATTCGGGCTCATTACAAGCAGCAGTATTAGGGCCATTATCTTTACAGGGTGAGAGGTAAAGTAAGGTCGGTGCATATAGATTCGCTGCCTAGCATTATCGATACTTTACATATCTCGCGCTATGTCGTTTGCTTTCCTTCCTTTTCGCAGGTGAGGCTTTGTTTTGCTCGGGTACCTGAGACTATGAAGGTAAAGAATCAGGCCAGCAACGGACCGCTTCCCCACGTGAAATCTAGGCATCGATGACTATGCAGTCAGCACACTGGATGTGGCAGGGCCCCGGATGCCTAGACACTGCCCCGCTGACCGTCGAAGGAACAGCCCCAGTTGCCAAGACACACAGGGTACGGTACAGCACATGGCGGCTGCCTCTGGGTTAATTTTGGCCGATACTCGGACCTCTCAATGCTCGCCTCGCCATCAAACCGAGAATCCATAGCACAAATCTTGCAGAGCAGAGAAAGTATAGCCGGCCAAAGTCATGGATAATCCTCCTGACTATCCTCACCACCGGCAACATGAGCAGATATCTGACGTACACCCCCTCGCGCCGCCAAGCTCCTCGACTGCCGGCCGGCCGCTTTCTCGAGCTGGATCACCGGGAAATACAGGCACAGACGCGGACACGAACACGGTGATCCTGGTGGCCCGCCGAGCATTGCAGCCCATATCCCCCCGCAGGGAGGTGCTCAAGCTGGCCTTTTCGCCCAACGGCGAGTGGATTTTGGGATTGGCAGAGCCAAGGCCAGAAGGCACGCAGTTTGCCTATGTTGAAAAGGCACCCAAGACCTTGTATGCATGGCGCGCACGCAGGGTTTTAGATCTCGCGAACCCGGACGATTATGCCATCAACCACGACGGGCACGGGAACAGGAGGCATTTCCTGGCGTCCGACTTGGCCTTTGCCCCTCCCCGCCCAGGGTCGGCGGCCATCTCGATCGCGTGCCCCACGTGTCGCTCTAACGACGAGTACCGGGAGCCGAACCTGAACATCTACCACGTCACCCCCGGCCCCCCCTTGGCGACCTTTGCGCGAGCCACCTGGGTGGCGCTGCCCATCTCGGAGCCCATCGCCTGGTCGGCCGACGGCAAGATCATCGCGGCCGCGTCGATTAGCAACCCGTCGAGGGTCTGGCTCGTCGCCGTGACGCCGACTAAGCCGCCGCACCTGCTGCGCGTGCTACCTAACTTCAGCGGCCGCCTCACCCATCTCGCCTTTGTGCCACGCGCCGGTGGCGGGGGGCCCGAGGTGGGCGGCGATTACGCGCTCGCGAGCGCGTCGCTGGACGGCGTGGTGCGAATCACCGACGTCGAGACGGGCCACACGCTGCGCAAGTTCGACATGGCCGCCACAGGGGCGCCGCACCACCACTACCGCGAGGGCGTGGGCCTGTTCCGGGCTAGCGCCGACGGCTCCGTCGTTGCTAGCGTCTGGGGCCGCGAGGTCATGCTGTGGTACCCGGCCACGGGTGAGGCGCGCGTGTACAGCCTCGAGGCGGCGCGGCCGACCGAAGGCTGGCCGCTCGACATCTCGCCCGACTGCCGCTACTTGGCCTGCCGCACCGAGGTCGGCTTCGACGTCTCGGATCTGGCGACGGGCCGGTTCATGGGCGAGGCCCGCGTCGACGACTCGTCCTTCTTCGCCGCCGCCGCCTTCAGCTGGGACAACAAGCAGATGGCGGTTGGGAAGAACACGGGGGAGATGTACGTTTACGACATGAATGTTGTAAATTGCGCGGTCTAGGGTGGCCTTTGGGGGTCGTCCACAGCCTGTCTGTGCCAACGCTATGGCAGCACGCCTTCAACAAACCGTGAACAAGGAAATCTATTCGAACTAGGTATACGTATACCTGCGCAGCCTTCACATCAGGAATCATCTATAGCATGGTTGTCTCAAGGACCCAGGTCGTGCTCTTCACGCAAACACACCTCGACCTCACAGCAGCCCCTCAAAGGCCTTTGCCGAGTCGAGCACCATCTTCCCGTACCCGATGAACGGCTGCCCCGTCGCCTTGACGGCCTTGCTCGAATTGTAGATGGACGAGGACGGGTACGAGTAGTCGGCATTATACCCCTCGCCAGGCGTGCCGACCTCGATGACGTCCCGCCTATCCGGGTAGGCCCTGCGCAGCACGTCGACGGCGGCCTGGGGCGTGCCGAACGAGCCCGAAACGAGGTAGCGCTCGCCGTCGGCCTTTTCGGCCTGGTCGATGCCGAACACCACCATGCGTGCCACGTCGCGCACGTCGGCGAAGCCGCCGCCGGGAAACACGGTCGACATCTTGCGCCCGGCCAGGAGATGGTACACCCACGACACCGTCCCGCTGATCTGCTCGGGGGTGGTGGGCGTGACGAGTGGGGGGCCCGCGACGAAGCTGCGGATCGGGGGAAAAAATAAAGTCAGCAAAGGCCACTCTCTCTCCTCGAGACAGGGGGCTCACTTACACGGGGTTTATGGCCGTCATGGTGAAGCCGGGCTTCTTCTCGTCCCTAAACTTCCAAAACGCCCGCTCGGCCGCGACCTTGCTGGCGGCGTAGATGTGCAGGCCGGGCGCGCCCTTGCCCTGCGACGCGACGAGGGCCTCCGAGGTCGCGTTCCAGTCGGCCTCGGTGAAGACGTGGCCGTCGGGCTTGGGCCCGAAGATGGCGGCGATGGACGACATGACGACGAAGCTCCTGATGGACGGCTCCCCGGCCGAGCTCTCGAGCACGCGCGTCGTGCCCTCTACGGCCGTCCTGAGCACGGGCTCCGGGTCGTCGAAGCTGAGGGAGACGGGGGTCGCGAGGTGGGCGACGGCAGAGACGCCCTGTTTTGTTGGGTATGGTGGTTAGCCGAGGCTTTATGGGGTACGTGACGGGAGCTGGGCCGCCTACCTTGACGGCTTCATCAAACGCCCCGGGCGCGGTGATGTCGGGTACCTCGATGACTTCGAGGCGGTCTCCGTATTTTGACAGGGCGGCGACGACCTGGGCTGCGCTTGCGGACTTGCGAACCGAGCCGCGGACCGAGTAGCCCGCAGCCAGGAGGGCGGCGGCGGTCTGGGCGGCGATGTAGCCGTTCAGACCAGTGAGGAGGACGAGGCCCTTTGTCATTTTGTCTTTGGTGTTTTGTGGTGATTTTTTTTGGATTTATCCAGGCTTAGTTGGTTGTGATAGGATGCTCTGGGATTGATGTGGTTGAAGCTATGGATATGAATATTGACTGTTCTCTATCTCAGGGGCTCTCCGTTTGACTTATATCCTCTCTAGGCGTACTGCTCCTCGGCAGTCGACAATGATGAACAATTCCCAGGCCATCACGACACCCTCAGTAAAGTCACTCGTGTTAGGACTCATCAGTAATCAGAGGCTGTCGTCGGCAAGCATGTCTTTACTGACATTGAGGGGGTGTTCTCAGCCACTTTTCTCGTCGAGTGGTTGCTGACATATCCGCGTCGCTTGCATTGGGCTGTTGAGTGATCAATTATTCGGCGATTGGGATCCTGTGGGCCGAGGCTAAATCCACCAGAGAGGCGCTAACGATGAACAATACGGCAGCATGTCGCCATGGCTGCACCCAATCGTTTTCTTCCGACCAAGGATACGCATGGCATATGGCTAAGGCTTAATTCAGCAGAAATACAGGCACGCAAAGAAAAATACGGGAGAATAATCAACAATGTGTCGGCTCTGGACACATGGACCACGCCCCATCACCGACCCAGCTCCCGCCTGATGGTCGCAAACTCCAGCCTGGGCACACTGACACCCTTCGCATCCCTCCAGCGGCGCCACGTCTGCATCACGTTGCGCACCAGCAGCAGGTCCCCGGGGCCCGCCGCGAAGCGCCTCTCCACGTCCCGCGCCTCCTCCTCGGGCACGAACGCCAGCTGCTCGTACCGGACGCCGTCCGAGACCCCGTCGGCGCCGAGCAGCACGACGAGGCGGTCCGCGCCCGGGTCGCGGCCCGCCAGCAGCTGCAGCATGCGCGCCTCGCTCTCGCCGTGCGGCTCCAGCTCCCACCAGCTCTCGAGGCAGAGGCCCATCTCGCGCGCCGACACGGCCACGCCGCCCAACGCCCGCAGGTCCGCCAGCCCGACGCCGCGGATGCCCGGGTGGAACATGAGCGGGTGCGCCATGGCCAGCACGACGCTCGACAGGAAGAAGAGGTCCGTCCGCGGGCTGAGCTGCAGCCCGTGCAGCTGGCGCGGGAACTTGTCCATGAGCTCGCGCCCGGCCGGGGGCAGGGCCCGGATGATGTCGTCGACTATCTGCTTGGACGTGAGGTTGACGAGCCGCAGGCGCCGGATTGGGTCGTCCTGCCGGAGGGTGCGGTAGTTGTGACACACCAGGCGCACCCCGGCGCCGCCCAGTCGGGGGAAGTCGGTGGCTTCCAGGGAGACTAGGCGCGGCTTGGCCAGGAACTCGTGGATGATGTGGCTGTAGATGGCCGCGAGGAGCTCGTAGGGGAGCCCGCGTCCTTCCATGGGGCGCGAGGTGGCCATCACAGGAGTCCAAGGTTTGCACTATCTCGAGGCCCGAGGAGCTGATACACCAAGTCTCAAGGGTGCTGTTGCCGATTCTGGCCAGCACTCTGGTCTCTGGGTGTTTGTTGATTTATTAAATAGCAATGAACTTGAAGCAATCCATTATCGACTGGCTTCTGTGACTCTCCCATACGAGGCTACACGTATGGCGTTGCTCTGAGTGAAGATCGATCATCGTAGTGGCAAAGACTGGCTGTAAGACTACTCCTGATGGCTCCCTCCTTGTTGCCAGCCAGCCGCCTATCACTCCTTATCGTATCAGGCTCGGTATCAGTCATGGCCTCCTGGAGTATTTCCAAGCATCAATCCAAAGGTTTTATTCCAGGTGAATCATGCTGTCTGGAGTCCAATCTTTGGCAAATCGCTTTGCAATGCTGGAGTGCAGCTATCCTTGGGCAATTTCTTGAGCAACTGTCTCGCAAATTGTAATGCCTATAAGCCCTGGCGCTGCTTCGTCGAACCAAAACTTCCCTCGAAATGCCTCTCGTTAGCATTCCATCAACGCGCCGGCCAGCGAATGTACCCGGTGCTGCGTGCTATTAGTTCCTGTCTGGCCCATTTATACAATGGACACCCTGTAAGTGCTCCCGTCAACACCAAACTCCATCACATCGGGGTCCCAATAGGGGACGTTCCGTTTGTAGTCCGGATCTTCGCGCGCCGATTGTGGCAGCGGCTCGTCCTCGGGCAGCCTGGATGCCCACTTGAGGAACAGCGACAGTTCATCATCTTCACGACCACCCTCCGCCGTCAACCCCCTGCCGAGCCCGGCAACTCGTAACTCAGCGAACCAGGTCGGCCAGAGCTTGCGGTAGCACTCTTTGAGAATTTCGACGGGCAGGAGTGCGTATAACGACCGCTTCGTGCCGGCCAGCACCGCGTCTCCTCCCGGCTTCTTCCGGCCCACAAAGTGAAAGAGGGCGCACATATCAACGACGGTGATGTGGTGAAAGTCGTCTTCCTCTGGCCCTCCGGCATCCAGACCCAAAGCCCACACAGGCCCTCGTCGCCAAAGGCAGGCCGGGGGCGCCTTCGCCAGGGCCACTACGTTGAACAACAAATTCATCATGCTGAGATCGGACAGGAAAACGTGAAATTCCACGCACTGGACGCCATTAAAGGACGTTACCATCGGCGTTGCCCCGGCGCGCTCCTTTATGACAATGTCCACGAAGGAGGGCGAGGCGCCCCGCTCGTCGTTCAGAACCCCTTGCATCGCCCTCAGCGTTCGCAAGAGGCTTGCCATATCAGGCGTAACCTCGAGCACTGTGGATGTATGGCCCTGCGGGCCCTGCAGGGCAGATTGTTTCCGTATCTCCCTTGCCAAGCTGGAGACTCGAATATGCTCCAAAAGACTGCGGCGCAGACATGGATCTTTCGGGGCGGGTTTGGGTTCGCGGTCACGCTCGAGTTTGCGTTCGCACTCGAGTTCGCGGTCACGCTCGAGTTTGCGTTCGCACTCGAGTTCGCGTTCATCCTCGAGTTTGTGTTCGAATTTGAGATCAAGCTTGCGTTTGAAACCCGGCTGGCTTTCGAGGCTGTATTTGCATGAGAGCAGGTACACAAGGAAGGATGTGAGTGCCCATATTACTAAAGGCGCCGGCATGAACGGTCTCCACCGGCTGTTGGAAACGACCAAGACCGTTGCTATAATCGTTGGCAGTAGGAGCACGAGTCCGTAGCCGTATTGCCAAAAGAATATGCGCTTGAGACGGGAGAAGGCTTCGCGTTGGCGCTCCTCGAGAATCTGAGACAGGGAATCGGAATGCAGGAAGCTGTGGTGAGGTAATGGGGCATGCGGACGAGGTATAGGGGCCAGTCCGCGTCCGGATGAACAAGAAATGTAAACTTGGTGGCAGCAGGCGACGAGTTGGAAACCTAGGCGTTCTTTGGACACGCGCCGCATGACGAGAATCACCGGAGCAAGGTCGAAGGGCGGGTTTGTATCGCCGTCAAGTATGAATATGTGATCGTCTCCGGGCCTCAGATCCAGCTCGTGAGGTGTCTCCTGGAAGACCAAGCAAAAGCGCCAGGGCGAGTTCGGCTTGGACAGCTCCATTATAGTGAACCCATCGGAGCTCGCAAGTTTGAGCGGGGTGCTCTCAATTGCCATCAGACGAACAAGCTGAAGGCTGAGGGAGCCGGTGGTGGGGTCGACGTGGGCGTCTCGATGCCATTCGACATCTAGTTCGGGAGGGACATCGTTGACGTTGATAGTATGGATGTCGAGCATCCCGTTGTGGCTTCGCGCCAAAGTTTCTCTCCACGACCTATCCAGTGTCGAAGTGACAGGGCGCCAGGCGGTATTTCCGACGGCCGGCCATGGTACCCAAGAGGGATACACGGTGGCGTTACGAGATCCGGGGTGCAGCAGGACGTCCGGCGCGTCCCCTTTGAGCAGGCAATGTGCCACAAAGCCGATGCGAGCATGGACGGCACTGATCGAGTAGTCTGGGACCAGGCGCAGGTCTGGATGCAGCAGGCCCAGGACGCCGAAGACATTGTCTCGCCGGTCGCTGGCCTCGCGGCTGATGCCGATTCTCAGAAGTTCGGCTGGGCTGATGGTGCCTTGGGAAACGTGGGCAAGCCACGGAGCCGGGGTATCTGCCCAGCTCCAGGCGGAGCGGCCGAGCAGGTTCGAGGATGTTAGGTGATCCGCCACGAAGTCAACATCTCGTATGCGTACCAGGACCTGCTTGGCGAGCAAAAGTTCCTGGACGACCCAGATCCGACTGAAATATCGGCGCCCCAGCAGATCCTGGAGATGAAGATCGGGAAAGGGCGGCGGTTGCGCAGAATGAGGCACCAGATCCTCCAACTTGCGTCTGGTTGGGAACGATGATGGCGGCAAATGGGCAACCATGTCCGGCCCTAGATAGAGAACAACCCGTAAGGCATGCCCGTAAATAAATGCCATTTTGGCCACCTGCTGGCTCCTTTCTTCGAGATCACTCTGGTTGATACAGAGGGCATCCACCCAAATAAACCGAAGGCCATGTCGGGGGCGGAGGAGGCGGAGCATTTCGTAGCAGTTTCTTGTTTGAAAGAGGAGATCCCAAGGTCGCCCGACATAGACAGGTCGGCACGGTAAGCTGTTTCCATCCTCTCCGCCCCAGGCGTAAGAGACGGCCTCGTACTCCGGACAGTCGTCGTCGTTGTACGCTTTGAGCTCGACGTGGATCGGCCAGTTATCGTCGGCCTCGGCTGCGCGACTAGGTGTATCGCGGGAGTCCAGGACCAGAAGACGTATCTGGTCTGGGCGTAGGGTTTGCGGGTACACCGAAGACGGATGCTCTGTGTTCGGCGCAGCTTGAGGCTGCGATGTGCTGGCGCTGGACGATTCCCGCGGCGGCTGGGAAACGGCGACATCGAGGCCCGCCTCGGCCGTCGTCTCTTCCACCCCCGATCTCAGATACGGAACGGTCGGGGGCCATGCAAGATTCATCTCGCCAGGAGGCTCGTCCGGTGGGATGTTCAATCGGGAATGCTCCAGGGCCAATTGCGCAAGGAGCTGCACGACATCCGGAGACCGGAGACAGGTCAGACAGTGAGGTACGCCGCCCGGTCCCACCTGCACGCCCTCCTCCTCAGCGCCGCACCATGACTTGTGCCAACGGCTCATCGCTGTAGCCGATGGTAGACCAGGTAGGAGTTCCGGCGACGGGGACGCAGAGAATTTTCTGATGAATGGTAAGGGACGCTGGCTCAGATAAGAGAAACTGCTAAGGGGTCGGGGGGTGGCCTAAGCGATTCGTACAACACAGCGATTAAAGGGTTAAGCGAAGGAGAGAAGGGCTGCCCGATCCGACCGACATGAGTTCGGGAAGCTGGCCAGGCTTTATCCGCGCAGGCTGGGCTCATCATGTCGCTGAAGCTGGGAATGAACCTGCCACGCGAGGTTGTGGGCGAATAGGATTGACAAGCTTGGCCCTGCCACTGTAAATCAAAAACCGCATAGCCGCTGAGGCGCAACCCTTATTGATACAGGTATTGGCTAGAAAAGCGCGGCGGCGAGAGATTTGGGCCTTGCATCCGCACGAGTCGACATTTGGTTGGCAGCCCAACCCCTGACGAGCCAGCCACCCGTAACGCCGGGAGAGGTAAGGCTGGCAGTGTATCAACTGGACATATGATATTGTATGACACTAAGGAGATGTATCTAAAGAAGTCCACTTTTGCTGATATCGCCAGCTGGGCCATGCCGTGATCCCGTCATGGCATGGCCAAACGAAAAAAAAAGGATTAAAAAGTTCATAGTCTCATGAGATCGTCAGCACCAACAACTGCAACAGCCACCCGCTCTCTACTTCTCGCTCGTAGCGGCCCCAAGCTGGGCGCCGCTAAAGGGACATATTCCAGCACCGACGGCGCCGGACTTGGGTATCCTAGTGGGCGAGGCCAGGGGCTTGACGGCGCTCTTCTGGTCGCCAGAGGCTGACGGCGACGATGCAGAGGTGGGCGACGAGACGGCGATGTCGGGGACCTCTTCGTCGTCGAGGATCTTTTTGCCGTGGAGGTATCCCTCGTCCTCAATGACGACGGTGCCCTCGTCGTCGTCGTCGCGGAACTCGGCGCCGTCGCGCACCTGCCACTTGGCCATGAGGTCATTCTGGATCCAGATGACCTTGCCGAGGGCCTTCACGAGCGCGATCTTGCGATCCATGGGCAGGCGCGGGTGCGACAGGATGGCCTCGCTCATGATGTCCTGGATGAAGGCCAGGCAGACGCCGAGGTGGATGTACTCGACGTGGAGGGGGTGTGCGCGGCCGAGGCCTACATGCATCATACTGAGGCTGCAAGTTAGTAAGACCTCTCTCACTATTGGATTAGGCATGAATCTGTACATACCCAACCTTGTCCAGGTACTCCCAAAACTCCATCTGGCTGGGGTCCGAACACAGCTTGGCGAGGTAGGCACGCAGGAAGATCTTGCGGTGCTGGATCTGGGGGCTGTCCTCGTTGGGGTACTCGTCAATGGGGCCCTCGAAGCTGGTGCTGCGGGTGGTGAAGGCGCGCGCCGTGACATCGTACTGCAGCAGCTTCTTGTAGACGATGTTGACGACGGCGGGGATCAGGGCGCGCACGTATTTGGCGCCCGAGATCAGGGCCTCGATGTCGCGGCTGCCAAAGTCGAGGAAGCTGTGCAGATAGCGGACGCGGGCCTCGAGGTTGATGTAAAGGTCGCGGCGCTCGACGTGCATGCGCAACCGGTCACTGGCGAGGCCCATGGTGGATGGTGTGTGGTAGAAGAGATGGAAGAATAGATGAGCTGCGGAAGGTGACGAATCGGGTGAATCGTTGAGCTGCTTCGGCTGCTTGATCTGTCCGCTTGGTCTGATGTCTTTCTGTGGTGGTGTCGCATCCCATCTGGCCCATCTGTCTGGGGAAGACAGCCCCCATATCCTTTATACAACCATTTCAGATCTCAAGGCAGGCCCTTTAGCAAAGCCGGGCTGGCACAAGGTTCCGCCGCTGTGGGCATCAACCCCTCCGAGGGCATGGCGCATCCAAGGCGTCAGGCTGGTTCGAGCAAACAGGCAATGGCAACAACAAAATGGTATGATGGGCTGTGCCGCCATGGCCAGACAACTCTGGGATCGAGTGCATGGTTCGACAAACGAGCTGTGGAGCCCCCTGTCTGCACCCCGGCCACGCCGACAGTGAGCCCACCACACCACCACTCGTCCTACCAGATCAAGCAATCGGCCCCACAGCTGCAAAATCACCAGATGCTAGCTTTGGGTTTCGAAAGCCGCCAACCAAGATTTTTGCATTTGACGCGTAGATATGTGCTGATGCTGCGTCTAACGTGAAGAGTTTGCTGCGAGCTGGATACTGCCCAAAGCCCGAGCCTGCCTGAGGAGGGCAAACCTTTATTCCGAATCGGGGGCTATATGTGCTGTTGATATCGACAACCGCCTCCCTTCCCCTGGCAGCACCACCCTGACATCCAAGCGCGGTGGACGCCTGTCCAAGACTTTGAGGCACGCAACAGCGCACACCGGCGGGCTCCGCATTCAGTGCGCCTCCTCCCGCGCCTGCGCCTAATCGGGCATCCGCTAGCCCAAGCGTCTCGACTCCTGGTCCACAAAACCCCGGGGGCCTGAAGCTGTCAAAGATCAAGAATGCTCCGAGCACCCCCCCGGTCGCTCGGCCGGCCCACGGGGTTGGTAGGCCTTGCTTGCAGGTGGCCTTTGAAACAGCTGCCCCCGCCACGATGACGACTGTCGCTGTTGGAAAGTTGGATGGCGGCGAAAACGTGCCGCGGGGTATTTGGTCTTGACATTTGGTCCTGACAAGACACACGGCGGGCTTGCTCCGCCGATAGCTTGCTTATGTATCCCGTCTGGACCACGGGATGTGACCGCCATGGCTGTCTGTAACGACCGCAGACGCGAAATCGTATCCTCGTTGAAAGTGAGATCGGACGGGACCCTGCAGGCGTCTCTATCTCACCGCGTCGCAGTCCTGCCGCCAGCCTTGTCCTTGTCCTTCCTGCCCTCAGCTCTTTGCACCTCACCATCTCGCAGGTTCCACCGCCTCTGGCTGAGGCCGTTGGCGTAAGGGGCGGCGTGCCACGGTGGCGGGCACGCTGAAGAAACTTTGTCATGGAGCCAAGTGGACCACCGCCCGGTTGCCAGAGGCGTAAACGAGCGAGAGACTTCAATATTTTGTCTTGATCTTGATGGAGGCGGAGCAATTGGGCCTCGCCATCGTGTTCGGACAGGACGTGAATATGCTGGCATTTCCCATTAGCGTCGTTTCAGATCCCTCTTCGCTCTCCGTTTATCCGTCGCTCTGTTCTCCCGCAAGGGCCCAAGGTCTCGGGCAGGATAAGCTGACAAAGGTTAAATAAACCTCAGCGTTGACAGTGGCCCCTGCGGTCGCCTGACCCATGCTCGGCGGCGAGAATGCTGTGTGCGGTCTGTGCCTGCAAGCGAACTCACAGTCGCCTTGTTGTATCTAGACGAGGGCTTTATCTAGATCAATATCTCCTATAGTGACACCATTTATCAGGGCTGAGGTTTTTGCTGGTGGGTTGGGCCCCGCAACTCTCAGCTTGCTGCTACTCGCTATTCGGCAGCAAAAATGGTAAGCAGGATAGATAGTCTGGGCGACGAGGTCAGATAGGCAATGAAGCAGAGAAGGAGGGGGAGGGGGACAATCGCGGGCTGATGCTTTTTGCTCAAGTTCATATTTATGCACGCACCTAGCTCAAGGACAGCCTCCTCACTGGCTTTGTTCAGCAGCATAAAACTCGGCGTGCAAACCACCCGCGCAGCATAAATAAGATAAATAAGTGCAGTGCGGGTGGGGTATTTCACTGTTGGTGGGCGGCGTTTCCTTTTCTGGATTCTAGGCTGTTTGTTACACTGCTGCCTGCATCCTCCCTCACCCCGCTGCCTACATCCTCCCCTCACGTCTGCGCGTCTGGAAAGCTCAGGATCCTAACCCACACTTCTCGCCAACTGGTAACGGCACTGACTTCATGGTCAGCCGACCTCTTGCTTGCCACCATGTCGGTAACCACATCATCAGGTGCGACAATGGCGACACCGTCAGAGAGCGACGACGAGGAGGTGTCACTGGAATGCCTGGCAATCGCAAGATCCGAGTATGACAACCCCGGAATCACGAAAGCAGCGTTTGATGAGCAGGGCGATGTCAGTCTACTCGTCGGCGCCCCCGGAGCCAATGATCAGGCCATATATACGGTCTGCTCTCGAACACTCTCGCGCGCATCACCTCTACTCGACACATTGCTGCGTAGCTCGAAGGCCGACCGTCAACTGGATGGGGGTTGGATTGTCAGACTGCCTTACGACGATCCCCAGTCCATCCGCATCATCCTAAACATCGTCCACGGCCGGTTCCGAGACGTGCCAGACTCCATGGCTCTGGGCAGCCTTCACCAGCTCTGCATTTCTCTCGACAAATATCACATCGCGGAGTGTTTGGGGCCCTGGGCCAAAAACTGGTGCCAAACGGCACGACGGCTTGGCCCATACGCAGTCAGAGGCCATGCCCAAGTCGCCTGGGTGGCATATGTCCTTGGTAACAAGAGCATGCTTCAAGAGGCTACCCAGATCTTGCTTCGGGAAACGAGCCCATGGGAATTGGTGGAGGGTGACGAGCATCTCCTGCCCTTATATTTAGCAGGCATCCTAGGTAAGTTGCGTTCAGCCCTCGTCGCTCCCGAGCTCTCGGTGGGTTCAGCCGCTGGCTGGCCTGTGTGGTAAAGCGCGTGCCTGCTGAAAGGGAGCTATCAAGCGCTTCGTAGGGCCTTATGGTGGACCAAAAACCCTTGCGACTCCAAAGACTGACACCACTGCTACTGCCTCGAAACAGACAATATAAAGAAGCAGCAGATCGAGAGCCTGCAGTCGCTCGTTAAACTAATGCACGACACATGGTCCGACTGCGTGGCAAACTGCTCCTCCGGACGTGGATGCCTTGTTAGTAGCGATTCGGAACGGAAAGTCTGTACAGCCGCCGTTGCTGGCTCTCTCACTGCGTCTCTGCACAAGAGAGAATTGCTGCCATCTTCGAAACCCATCCCGCTCGAGGAATACACACTGGCCGACTTCGTGGACATAGCCAGGAACATTACCGGGGAGATTGTGCAGGGCTGCAACAGGTGGGGTGCTGACCACAGGAAATGTGGTCCCGCTGAAAAGGTGCTCAAGGCCATCGAGCTTGCGGAGGAATCTTTCGTACCCATTCTGTCTATGGCCCAGCTTGAGCGCCTCAAGGAACAGGCAGAGAGGATTGGTGTGGAGTACTAGATAGCTTTGGCCTCTGGACCTGGGCTCAATCTTGATCACAAAAAGGCCCGGGGTTGGGAAGGGGAACCAACAGGACCATTTTCACGCTGTGGCAGGTGTATCAACAGCAATTTCCTGTCAATTGATACCAATGTCTCTTTTCGTTTCAATGTGTGCTGTAGCAGCAGTTGAGATAATATGCGAGGCATGGTCGAGAGGATAAACGGAAGGATGCCCTGGTTCCCCGCACCAGGTGCATGCCCCACTACCCCGCTTCAATTAACCCCGCCCGCAACTTGAGTTCCGAGATCATGATGCTTATTTTTTGGAACCTGCTGGCGAACGACATGCAAGTTGGCGTGCTCCATTCCCACACTCCAGCATTTTGCTAGGATGAGTGTCGTCTTTACGCCTAAGTAATCTCTCGCTCGCCGCGATGGCGGAAACGGACTCGTCAGAGGCGACACCTCCGGCCGACGCTGGGCCGATATACAAGGCGTTTGACGACCGAGGTGATTTACAGCTCCTCGTCGGCGTCGCCCCGGACCAGTACAAATTCATTGTTTGCTCTCGGACACTTTTGCGGGCTTCATCGGTTTTCAACACCATGCTTAATGGTCCATGGACAGAGAAGCAGCTAGTTTCCGGCGACTGGGTTGTAGAGCTCCCTGATGACGACCCTATATCGTTACGGCGCGTTCTTACCCTTACCCACGGACGTTTCCGCTAGGTACCGGACACCATTCCCCTCGAAGATCTCCATCGGCTCTGCATTTGTGTCGACAAATATGATATTGCCGAATATTTGAGGCCTTGGGCCAAAGCCTGGTGCCTGTCTATGGAGAGCAAGATGGACGGTACTATTGAAAATAGTGCCCGAATCGCCTGGGTAGCGTGGGTACTCTGGAACAGGGATCTATTCGAGCGTTCCATCAGGTCCCTACTTTAGTCCTCGTCACCATCGTCACTGACGACAAAGGCGGGTAACGAGTACCTGGCACCCCTGGACTCGACGGGTATCCTTGGTAAGTAACGCTAGCCAAACCCCCAACGCTTTTAGCCCACCAAGCACACGTACAGACATCAAACCTACCGTCCCTACTCCCAAATCAAGCCCCTTTGCGGTTTTGATCGCTATCCGCGTCTGTTTGCCGTCCCATGAACCGGCACTGCCGCTAATCTCAAGAAAACCAGCCGGGATAATGATAATCTCGATTTCCAAGATACAACATCTCCTTAGCTGGCTGTAGGGTATCTGGACTGAGCGTGTCTCTGAGTCCAACCCTGGCAGTCTTTGTCGTCAACATAATCAAAATGACCGGTGCAAACAAGCCTGATCAGCCCTCATTCTTGGGTTTCTTACTGCATCTCTCTACTAGAAAGGCATGCTGCCATTATCGCACTCGGCTGTTTGTGACGACGAGTTGACGCTTTGTTCCTTCGTAGGAATGGTAAAGCAAATCGCTGAAGAGATCTTGGAACCAGGGGACCGCCTCAAAGCGGGGTGGCATAGAGATTGCAGCCCCTCGGAATCGATACTGCGGCGCCTCAAGGAAGAGACGAGTGATCAAGCGTGCCCTGTATTGGTCGACGCCACCATCGTGCATCTAGAGCGACGGGCAAGGCGGATTGGCGTCGAGTACTAAATTATACGATGCGCGATTCGACTGCGGCTAGGGCAAATAAACAGAGGCAACCGGCGGCTCGGAGGGTGAGACTTTACGGGAAGAAAAATGGAGCAGCAGGACCTTGCGGTAACTACCACATCTTGGCATGGTCGGCATTGAAATAGTTGCGTGGTTTCTGAGAATGTCATCTTCACCTTTCTTCTTGTGCCTTTCCATTTGCGATCTTCCAAGGTGTATCGTATCCCGACAGGCTATCATGTGCTCATATGCGGCTTTTCCCAAACAACTACAGCTAGCTGAGAGACATCACTCATAATGCAGGATGCACGCTGAATTGAGCCGCAGGGCCAACCATGGCAGGGACTCCCTCAAACAAGTCACCTTCCTCGCTCGTATCCCCATGCCGGATCAGCAATATACTCGCCTCCGGAAAAAGGGCGTCGAGGTCGAGCTCGAACGTCCGGCTGGCCGATGCCAGGTTCTGCAGCGTGAAATATGGAGAGCCAGACCCCCCTGCCTCCTGCCCGCCCGGACAGTATTCGTACCGCAGCCGATAAGCCTCCTGGTTCAGCGTCACGGAGCAAGGCCCGGCGGCGCGCGGCGCAATGCGCAGATCCGCAGAGCCCAGCGCGGCCCGTACGCCCAGGTACTCGACCATCAACACCCAGGCGAAGACGCAGGGGTACTCGTAGTAGTGGGCGGCGCCGTGCCAGGGCGGGCCGTCCCATCTCGGCGACGCGGCGCAGCTGCGCGATCACCACGTCGCCGCGCCCGCGCCGCGCCCAGAACGCGGCGTCCCAGCACCAGTAGCGGCCGGCGGCGCAGAGGTCGTAGGGCCCGCCGTCGCCGATCTCGCCGGGCGTGTAGTCGGCGATGCGCGCGGCCAGGAAGCTGGGGAAGCGCTGGTACTCGCGCTCCTCCCTACGAAGGAGGTCGAGCACGGCGGCCTCCTGCGCCGGCGACGCGGCGCCGAACAGCACGGGCAGCTCGTTGGCTAGCAGGTGGAGGTGGTCGTGGACGAGGCCGGACCGGTCGACCCAGTCAACGAAGCGCGAGTGCTCCACGTCCCAGTACCCGACGGGCAGTGGCTTGGCGATGGCGGCGCGGAGCTTACAAGCGAGTTTGTCGTAGCGTTCAGCTTGCTCGCTTCTTTCTAAAAGCCGCTCCAGCTCGACCATCAGCTCAAAGGAGCGCATGGCCAGGGCGGCGGCGAGCGTCTCCCGCCCGTCCTTGATAACCTGGCCTTCGTAGTAGACGTCGGACCACAGACGACCGCGCGGGTCCATGCAGCCCTCGACACACGAAATAGCCCCTTCGAGGTCTGCCAGGTGCAGACGCAGCCAGTCCAAGTCCTTGGTCCGAGCGACGTACTGCCACACGGACTCGACCACCTCCACGTTCCCCGTGACGAGAAACATCTCGGCGTTCTCGCGCCCGTCGAGGCTGTTCCGCCGGACGTGGTACTCGCGCGCCCCGGACGGCTGGACGGCGCAGGGATTGCGCCAGAGGCCGCAGGGGTCTTCGCGCATCAGGCGTAGCTGCAGCTCCATCATGCGGCGCACGACGTCCAGGTCCAGGGCGCTGCCGGCGGCCAGGCGGCCCTTGATCTGGAACTCGTGGTCCACGTCCGGGTAGGTGCCGACGTACTTATCGGCAAGCGTGCTGATGACGAAGCCGGACCAGTCCGGGTAGGCGGCGGCGCGCGTGCGCTCCACGACGCATGGGAGCATGGTACCCCAGTAGAAGCCGGCCAAGGCGTCGGCTAACTCGGACCCGCCGGGGAAGTCGAGGACGTACTCGGCGCCGTGGACGTCTGCGTGCGGCCGCGGTGCGTGCCATGTCAACACGGCATTTTGGGCGTGAACCGTAACCGCGACTACTGCCTTCAGTTTGGCGTCTCCTGCCTCTGCCTCCGTCTCCGGGAGCTGGGACTCGCCGTACTGGGCAGAGATGAGTGTGTCGCTGCCTTCGGCCTCGATCAGCCAGGCGCGTTCCTCGGGTGAGTCGGTAGATAGTGGAAGTACCCAGCACCGTCCCTTTCCTCGAAGCACGGTCTTGTCGTTTCCATTGACTGTTGGATCACCAGGCAGCACGAAGTGCTGTCCTTGAACTTCATCCAGCACAAAGACAGGACCAGCCGGAAATATCAGTTGGACGAAGGCCATCCCGGTGGCCGACCGTCGTCTGCCATCGACTCGCTCTAGCATAGACGATGACAATGGAAGCTTTGATATTGCCATAGCCAGTTCAGGTGACCTCTCACGTTGATCGAGATATCGGCCATGTTGACTACCTAGGTAGGTAGGTGGTTCCTACCATGCGAGAATTATGGCGCCTTGTCAACGCATGGGGATGGCCTGGCGTTTGGCCATAATAATAAAGTTTGAACCGTCCCAAGTCGAGCCCACATGCGGGCTGTGCGCTGGCTGCCCGGAGCACATAGCACCACGTGACTATCACGTGCACCATCACCATAGCGTAAAAACAGGCAGGACCGCCCGACCGACTTCTATGCCCTCACTTCGACTGGGACTGGGCGCCGAATGACGATACCTACCCCCACTGCCGTACCACATCGAACGGGGTTGCGAACTCGGCCAAGCTGAGAGCAGCTCCTCAGCCAAGAGCCTCAACAAGGCCAAGGCCATCAACCCGACGCTAGCATCTGCCGCCTCGTCTCGCACAGCGAGCGAGGCTGGCGCTGCAGGCTACCAGCATGGCCTCCTCGAGCACGGCATTCTCGGCTACATCCTCGCTCACACCATCTGCATCTGCACCTCCATCTCCTTCGCTAGCAAGCGTGGGCGCGACCCTGCCGACCGAATCCTTTGACGAGTTGGGCGATCTCCAACTAATCATCGGCGCCGATGGCCCGGATCAAGCCCGGTTCACCGTATGCTCTCGGGCGCTCTCGCGGACGTCTCCCGTACTCAAAGCCATGCTCGGTGGCCCCTGGCTGGAAAAGCGCCCGGCGAACGGCGACGTCAACTGGGTTGTAGCACTTCCTGAAGACGATCGGAGAAATATGGAGATCATTCTTGCCGTCGCCCATGGAAGTTTTCGCAGGCTCCCCCGAACAATAGGTCTTGATGATCTTTATCAACTTTGCTTCTGTATCGACAAGTACGACATCTCCGAGGGCTTAATGCCCTGGGTTGACAAATGGTGCAGCGGCGTGGAGGCGCAGGTAGTATGGACGACTATCGCAGCGAAAGACGCCGCAAAAGTGCTGTGGATCGGTTGGGTCCTTGGCAATTTGGGGTTTGTCGAAAAATCCGCCGAGCGACTGTTAAAGTCCACGAAGCCGTCGGAAGTAGCAACACTGGCATCTCTGGATCCGACTGGGCTCATCGGTAAGTGTCCTTTGTCTGAATTCTGCCCAGCTTGGCTGACGTTGATGCGAACAGGCGATATTCAAAAGATGCAGCTGGAGACTGTCCACCAGATCGTAAAGGAGGTAAATGGCATCTGGACTACCCTAACCACTCTCCACGCATTTTCGAGCAGTCGGAGGCGCTGCATATCAACAGATATTCCCAACAAGGAATTATGTGACGCCGCTACCCTTGGTAAACTTACCGTGTCTCTGGTTCGTGAGGGCTTCTTCGATCAAAAGAAATGCCACGGCTTCGACATAACGAGCCTTTTACAGGCGGTATCGCGAATCGCCGATGAGAACTTTTCTCTTGGGAACCTTAGGTCGGCTCATAGAAACTGCGGGCCAAGCCTGCAACTTAAGAAACTGCAGGAAAAGCTGAGGAAAGATTTGCCCGCGCCTGTAACCAAGACTAGCCACAAGATTGTGGCTGCGCGGCGGAAGAACATTGGCGTCGATGACGACAAGGCGGAAGTGAAGGCCGGCTGAGTATCGGATCGCAGCGAGCCGGGTCGTGACGTCTCCTTTCATCTCTTTGTACCCTATTTATCACTTTCCGGACGAGATGTGCGTTCCGGCAACACCAAAGCCGTAACCACACAGCCTAGCTTTTATACTTATCAGAATACTAGCTGAATAGAGTCTGGCCTGGCACTCACCCATTCTCGTGGCAATTCTCTCAAACCAGGAAGGCGGCTGTGGAAATTTGAATGCGGTTGTGGCAGGTTTATTGCGCCAAAATAGAAACCTGTGGTGCTTCGACGACCAGACCTGGTTTCCACTTCGCCACAGTGAGTACAGCTAAGGTTGCAGGTCAGTCATGTTATTACTCGGAAGAGATTTTGGGCGTTTGGTTTGGCTTGAGTTTGACGTTAGGGGCGTGTATGGACGCGGCTCGTGGGTCATGATGATGCGGAGAATGGTCGGTTTTTGCTGGTGCAGGAAAAAAACCAGTAGCAGCCAGCTTGGAATACCCACGAATATTTGAGATTTTTACAACCTCGTACCTGGGCGTCCTCGAGTGATCGGCCTTGCAGATTTCCAAGCGCTGTGCAACGATCAGATCATCACCATCCGCCTTCTTAGCTACTACCTACCGTCCCCACGGCCACAGACCAGAAACCATGGCAATTCTCCCGATGACAGAGGCCTTCGCCAACATTGTCGACCTCCTGCTTCTCGTCGGCCCCCGGGGCCCCGACCAGCATACATTCTTTGTCTGCTCCGAGCCCCTCTCTCGGGCTTCCCCCGTTCTGAAAGCTCTAGTGCAGGGGCTGATGGGCGACCGGGTGCCGCCTACAAGCGAGCGGACCCTCGAACTTGCAGAAGACAGCCCCGAGTCCGCTCGGATCATCCTCAACATCGCCCACGGCCGTCCCCAAAAGGTGCCGCAGCGGATGAAGCCCGAGGCCCTTTACCGGCTCTGCAAGTTCATACACAAGTACGAGATCGGCGACATCCTGGAGCCGTGGGCCGCCTGCTGGTGCGCGCGGCTCGCGGAGCGCCCGCAGGCGTGGGTTCCGCAGATGTGCGAATCTTACGCCAAGGCTGTCTGGATAGGATGGGTCCTTGGGAATAGGACGGTCATCTCGTCGGCGGCCAAAACCATGATGCTCACCATGGACTCTGCGACTTTGGTAGAGCTGAGGAAGCAGGACCCGACCGGCATCGTTGGTGAGCGACCCTGACCCCAATCTTTTTTTTTTTGCCTACCCCTCGCTGACGTTGGTGACGACAAGGACACATCACCGAGCTCCAGGCCCAGACGGTGGAGGTGCTCGTGGACACCATCACGGGCTTCTGGGGCGACCTGGTGGAACCCCGAACGGCCGAGCCACGCTGCCGGGTAGGTTTCAGCCATCAGAAGAGGCGGCAGTGCGACGCGGTGGTGCTGGGCGCCTTCACCGCCTCGCTGCACCTCGAGGACCTGTTCGAGCCCGAGGCCGGCCAGCGGACGCACAACCTCGGCCAGCTCAGGCACATCGGGGAGCGGATCGCCGCAAGGATCTCGATGGTCAGGGCGGAGGGCCATTGGGACTGCGGCCCGGGCCGGCAGCTGCTGGAGGCGATCAGCGAGGTCTTGAAGAATGCTGGCCCTCTGCTGCCCGAGCGGGCACTCACGCATCTCGAGGGCCGCGCGGAGGAGCTGGGAATCACGTGCTAGACTTTTACAGGTTTCGTGTGCATCGACACGTAAATCTTGGACTGCCTACCTAAAGACAGGCAGGTCCACATTTCTAGCTGATTTGCTTGCGTTATCTCTGGTCCAGTATTAGCAGTGCTGGTAAAGACACCTATAGCGTATATACACCATCCCCCGCATTACACTTGACGCCAACTGCCGTCTACGCATCGCCCGATTCGAAGCAGTCCCATCCTAGTACCCCTTCTTCTTCTCCCTGCAGACCTCCTGGTCGAGCTGGCCCCTGACGGCGCCGGCCACGGCCAGCGACGAGTGCACGTCGGCGAAGAAGGCGGCTGGGTCCTCCTCGATCTGCCGGACGTGGAAGCCCGCGCCCGTGTCGGTCCCGTTGGCCAAGGCGCCCGTGGTGAAGGGGCCCGTGAGGCAGCCGACGCTGCTGCGCTTGTCGCCCTCGCCCGTGAGGACGGGGTTGGGGAACGCGAGCCTGTCGTCGCCATGATCGGTCAGCAAGCTGGGTAGTTTGATGGGGAAAGAAGACGAGAAAGAAACCCACCTCGGCGGGCCGGCCATCCCCTTGGGCGCCTCGTGGATGTGCGTGGCGGTTGCGGCGGGCGACGAGTAGTTGCCCCTGAAGCCGTCGAGAGTGATGTTGTAGCAGATGACGTTGTCGTGCGAGTTGATGCCGAACAGGTACAGGCCGCTGGCGCCGGGCAGGCCGCCCGTCGCAACGTTGGACGCGTTGACCACCTGGTCCGGCGTCGCGACGATTGCGTAGCTCGAGGTGAAGCGGAACGGCGACTTGAGGCCGCGGCCGACCTGCTTCGGCTTGAACAGGCCGGTGGCCGCACCCAGGTTCAGGATCGGGGAGCCGATGGCCATGGCGGCCAGAGAGAGGCTGATGATGGAGACCTTCATGGCTGCGGCGTTTTGGTGTCGGGAGACGGAGATTTGTGAGACAACGAGGGGTTATTGGAGAGAACAGGCTGTGCTGATGAGCTGATGAGGATGGGAGATGTTCCTCTTGGTCGTCCGGGGAGCAGAGCTGCCATGAGCTTTATAGGCAGCCAGATGGCGCATCCTGCTTCTCTCCTCGCTCCCATTCCAGGTTTCGGACTCACTCCCGCAATGCGCGAGACATCAACACACACCCGATCACCAGGCTCCTAGCCCATCTCGACAGTCGACGACGTCGTCCAAGAGGCTTACTCTTCCGCTAACGACAAAGGCGGAGATTGGCTCGCCGACGCCACATCGAGACGTCGTTCTGGTGCACCTCTGCTCTGCTGTGCGAAGATGCATCGGCAAGACGTCAGAAGCAACAAACCTAAACAATGCCAACGGGCGATGCCGCGCCGTATAGCGCCGGATGCCCGAGATGCCGCTCAGTGGAGGTGGACATTACACCAGCCGATCCCTGGGCGGCGGCCAGCAGAGCAGGGCTAGCCTTAGCCTCGCTTGGCGACTTGGGCTGTTGCGGCTTGGACTGCCCAAAACAACAAAGAGGGAGAGACAAAATATTGCATTAGGCTAGTATAGAAGAGCGGTCATGACGATGCCGAGCTCAGAGTATGTCGGAAAAGGAAAGGGGCGTCGATGTCGGCTTTTGCGAGTTCCGATATGGTCGGTGGCTGGGTGGGTTGGAATCGAAGTTGGGTGCTTTCCCCGTCAATCTCCATCGACATTGCATTTGGGTCTCCGGATTGCCGTGTAAAGACCGACCAGAGTCTCACAACGCCAAAAAGGGATACGTAGGTAGTAGGTATGTAGTATTAATTTTATCGCCAGAGGGTCTGTCTCGCTCCCCCTCTTGGCCCTGTCTATGACTGATCTCCCCTCGCATTCACCTCCCACACCCAAACACACACTCACACTCTCCCCTCAAACCTTTGCCCAAAGCCCAACCCCCAGCCGCCTGCCCTTGGCCACGCGGCTTGCCACAATGAAACCGGCAGATATCAGCATAGATGCGCCCGAGAACACCTGGGCGCCCAGGTAGCTCCCGCCCATGCGCGACACGAGCGCGCCGGCGACGGGCGACCCCATGAGGGCGCCGAAGCTGACGATGGTGAAGACCATGCCGATGCGCACGCCCGTCTTGCGCGGGTCCGATGACGTGAGGTTGGCCAGCCCGGCCGGGAAGATGGACTGGATCCCGCCCGCGACGGTGCCGTAGCAGGCCACCCACGCGTACAGGCCCGCCACGTCGCGCACCGCCGCCCACGCCAGCGCCCCGGCCCCGGTCAAGACGGTGAGCAGCACGAAGATGTTGAGGACGCCCACCCGGTCCGCCAGATAGTTGGGCACGATGCGGCCGAAGAAACCGACGCCGTTGATGACGAGCAGCAGGTTGAGCGAGTCCGTGTACGACAACCCGATGACGTCGCGGCTGTAGGCGGCCACGTAGAAGAAGGCGATGTAGACGCTCACGAAGGCCTAGCACACGGGTCAGTCCTTCCTTCTCACAAAAAGCAAAAGGAGAAAAAAGAAAGAAAGAGGAACGTACAAAAAACGAGCCGCAGGCATAAAACGTATACTCCAGCTCCCGGAAGCTCGCCCAGTCCACAAAGGAGCCCCCCTTGCGCGGCGGCACCCGCGGGCGCAGGCAGAAGAAGGCGGCCGACATGCAGGCGAGCTGCACGAGCGCTATCGCGCGGAGCGTCCACGCGAACCCGACGACCGGGAGCAGCTGGCGCACCATGCTCGGGAACACGAGCCCGCCCGTGGCGGACCCGCAGGCGCCAAGCCCGACGGCGAGCGAGCGCTTCTTGCCGAACCAGGTGCTGACCACGGCGATGGCTGGGCAAAAGACGCAGCCGTTGCCGAGGCCTGTGCAGACGCCCTGCGCCAGCAGGAACTGCCAGTAGGACGTGCACTGCGCCGTCGCGAAAGTGCCCGCCGCTATGAGGGCCGTGCCCATGATGAAGACGGCGCGGAAGTAGCCCGCGTCCGTCAGCCGGCCCGCGAGGGTGCCGACGAAGAAGATGAGGAACACCTGCATCGACCCGATCCACGCCACCTCGGACGGCGGCCGCCCGAGCAGGCCGACGTAGTAGGTCTGGAACAGGCCAAACGAGTTGATGAGGCCCCTTGCGCGGTCCGAAGGGCGCGTTAGTCGAGCAATAGCAACCGAAACAAGCAACCAAAGAGGGTACTTACCAGGTGTTCATGACCACCAGATGTGAGCCCAGCACTATCACCATCCCCAACCCGTCAGCCTCTCCCGCCCCTTTCCACAACACACAGAAAAGAAACCAAAACTCACCCGCAAGCCACGCATTGGCGCCCCCGTCCGGCGGCGGCCCGGGGTTCCAGCTCGACCGCGTCGTCGTCCGGCTCAGCACCCTGCTGACGACGCGGCCCAGGCCCGTCGCCGGTGGCGGCCGGTCCTCCGGCCCCGTCGACCCGTCGCGCAGCGAGCTCGACGATGATGCGCTTGAGGACCGCCTCTCGAGCCGGCTGTCGTCTGCCCCGGGGCCCGGCGCCGCGCTGCCGCTGCCGCAGTGCTTTTCCGTGCTGTTCACCGTTGTCGTGGTTGTCGTGGGCGTCGGCCCGCCGACGTTGCCGCCTTGCTTTTCTGGATCCGGGTCCATGCTGCTGCTCTCCCTATCGCTGCCGGTGCTGGCCGGCGGCCGTGTCATGCCCTTCCCGCTTTTTGTGCCTATGTGGTGCCGGTCCTGTAGGCACACGCCAGGTACCAGGCGGCTGTCACTCCTACTGGTGGGCGGATATAGTTCGGTGGTAGGGAGTGCTTGGGTTCTTCCAACCTTCAGCTGCCAAGGCTTTCGATTCTTGGGATCACCTAAATAAAATAAGATAGAGAGATGGACACAAGCAAAAGAACAAGATATAACAGAACAACTCCTTCCGTCCGAGCCGCGATTGCCCCGGCATATCTAATCGTCCGGCCGAGTCAAGCCGGCCATGGGTACGAATTATGTCAAATCCCGACACCACGCCTTTTGCCCATCAGTCATAGCCCAGACCGCCATCGTCCATGTCATCTCGCCTGGCAACTGCAAGCAAATTTGTCATCCCCACTGTTCGGGGAGCCTCGTTTCTCCGCACTCGATCCATTTCCCGGCGGCCACAAGAAGCACTTGCTCCACGCTTATTCCCGCCAGCCCGCTTATCCCTGCCACACCGTCGGCTGTCGGAATCCAACGGTACGCTATCGCCAACCTCGAATCTACATCTGCCCGATCTCGGCCAGCCAGGCCGCCATTGGTATCCACATCTTTCTCACTACCACCACATGCTCCCGCCATGGCTTTGGAGAGAAATCCGGGTAGCTATTTAGTCTCCTAGCTTGGCTATAACTTAGGCGAAGCAAATTTACAATACAGGCCACAAAATCCCTTCCCCTGTAGGTCAGGTCCAAACATCTTACATGCCCCGCCCGCCAAAAAGCAACATTTACTCCGCCTGCCCATTACTCCCCGAATGTTTCCCATATCTCATAACCACCAAGTCCGTACCAAAATCATTTGTGTCTAGTATCCCCTTCAAAATCCGGCCATGGTCAAACTGACCTGCGGCCCATACGTTTATAAACACCGAGAAAATGACTCCAGTTTGGGGAAAGCATCTTGGCCTTAAAAGCCGCCGACGATGGCGTTTACCCAATGCCAGAACGACATTGGCGTAGTCTTCGCCATGTCCTGGGTTCCAGTGCGCGACGACGTCCTGGCGTCCAGAAACTTGCCCGTGCTGCGCTTCTGGTTAAGCTTCATCGCCCGGTCCGGGATCGCCGAGCGGCACAGACCCGCTTCGCAGGTGTCATTGGTCCACTTGAAGCGGAAGTCATCGCCGAACCACACTCCCGACTCATCGCCGTTGTAGTCGAAGGTGATAGAGCTGAGATTCGTTAGATTGTGCTCCATGCGGCCCAATGGAATCGTTGCCAGGCGGCAGTTGGTGAGATTCTGGCCAGCGCACGAGTGGAAGATCAGGGGAAATGAAACGACCTCGACTTCGTCATCAACGTCCGAGTCGTATCGCATTCCAGTAACGTTGACCTCGCAATCAGGGTTAGTTGTGTTGCAACCCATGTCGAACGAAATCATGTCAAATCGGAAACAAGGGTTGGTTCTCAACGGCCCGAACCCGATCTGGGCCATCGTCGACTGCGAAGAGTTGGGTGGGATGAACATGGACATGTTGCCTTCAGACGTCGGATAGTACGTCTGGTTTGGCGGCGGCGCGAGATAGAATCCGTTGGAGAACCAGAGGCGATGATAGGGGTTAAAGAGAGGCATCGGCGACGTGGCATTGACAGTTTGGAGTTTGGGTCTGTCGTCGAACTAGAGGCATCAAGTCACGTTAGATTGATGAACACAAGGCATGTGTACGGCGATGTGGAGAACCTACTGTGAGTGTCACTTCTCCTCGGTCGCCAGCATTGCCGCATGTTGTCGACGGAGATGCGCCGCTTTCTGTCGCAGTGGCAGTGTCGCTAGCCGAGGAGGAGTTTGTAACCGTAGCCAGAGTAGTTGGAGCGCCCTGATCTTGACCCTGGCCCCGAGCACGGGAAGTCGACGTTGATGACGCGTTCCCGGTAGCGGATGCCGTCGAGTACGTGCCGTTTCCAGATGAGCCATCAGTTGGCGCTGTAGAAGCTCTCCCTCCCTGACCTTGGCCCTGGCCTCCCTGACCTTGACCTTGGCCGGGCGCTGGCGTGACGGTTGCATTGTTCGAATCACCTTGGCCGCCTTGGCCACCTTGACCGCCCTGCGGAGGGAAAGAGGGGGTGGCAGATGTTATGTTGGCCGAAAGTGTTCCGTTGGTACTCGCCGATAGCGTTGGGCTCCCGCTTTGACCTTGGCCTCCCTGACCCTGACCGCCCTGAGCCGGAGAAGTGGGTGTAGCAGATGTGGTGTTTGAAGCTGCTGCTGTTCCGTTGATGCTAGTTGAAGCTGTCGGGGTGGTGCCGCCCTGTGCACCTTGTCCTTGTCCCTGGCCGCCCTGGCCACCCTGAGCTGGGGAGGACGTACTCGCGGTCGTATTGCTTGGAATGCTGAACGCGGTCCCATTGACATTGACTGTTGGCGACGGGCTGCCGCCGCCTTGTCCTCCCTGGCCAGCTTGAGCGGAAGAAGTGGTAGAGGTCGCGTTGCTGGGGGTTCCGGATGAGGTTCCATTGATGCTGGGTGTCGGTAGTAGTGGGCTGCCTCCGCCTTGACCACCCTGGCCACCTTGGCCACCCTGAGTTGAAGGAGGCAAGGTAGGCGAGGTAGAGGTTGACGATGTTGCATTGATAGGAGTGGTGGGAGCCGTCCCGTTGATGCTCACCGGAGATGTCGGACTACCGCCTTGTCCTTGACCTCCCTGTCCTCCCTGGCCGCCCTGAGGGGGCAGAGTGGCAGTGGATGAAGTAGAGTTGGCGAAGAGGGTAGATTCAGTCCCATTGATACTTGTCACCGAAGCAGGGCCACCTCCCTGCCCCTGTCCACCTTGACCACCCTGTCCGGCTGGGCTTGGAGTGGGCGATGCCATGGAGCTTGCATTGACAGCAGAGGTGGAGTCTGTGCCATTGATGCTCGGCACCGAGGTTGGACCTCCGCCTTGTCCCTGGCCACCCTGGCCTGGAGTGGGCGATGTTGTGGAGCTTGCATTGGCAGCAGTGGTGAAATCCGTGCCGTTGACGCTTGACATTGGGGTTAAGCCACCGCCTTGTCCCTGGCCGCCCTGGTTTGTAGTCGGAGTTGCGGTGGCGGTCTCATTGAAACTGATAGTTGGAACAGAACTGTTAGTCGCCACAAAGGTGGAGATTGTTGCGTTGAAAGAAGTGGTTTCATTCGCGGACAGCGAGGGTAGCGGGCCAACTATCCCCTGGGTTGGGCGAGAGGGCTCGGTTATGATGGTGATGTTGGATGTTGTGAATGGTGCAACCGATGTGATGTTAGCCGTTGGAGACGTAGTGGCCGAGATGGTGCTGTTTGATACGACAGAAGAGGTGGCGTTGGCTGTTGCGGACAACCCATCTCCACCTTGGTCGGGTGTCAATGTGTTGGTAGAGTTGCTGGGAGTCGAGGCAGAAGGTGTGCTGCCGCCTGTGCCCGGCAGCCCAGTGATGTTGGCCAAAGTCGACGTGCTGCCCGTAATCAGTGCTGGCAGGGAAGGCGATGCTGTAATAGTGCTATTGGCCGCAGTTGTGACATTTGCTGATGCCGATGGTGACATCGTCGTGTTCAAAGGCAGTGAGGGAGCGCCACTCTGGCCGGGGGCAGTAAGCGTTGGAGTTACAGTAGCATTGATCGAAGAGGGACCACTTGCTTCGACCTGGCCAGGGGCTCCTGAAGTTGGAGCTGCGGTGCTGTTTGCTGGAACACTGACAGTTGCTTCTAGCGGATTTGCCATAGTCGTGTTCAGGGAGGCGGTTGGCCCAAAAGTAGAGTTGCCTGTGAAGCTGACATTGGCAGATACGGGCGGGATGCTAGTCAGAGGCCCCGGGGTTGCTGATACAGCAGAACTGGGGGTGGCCATGGGAGGCGCGGTGGTGTTACCCGTCGAAGTAGCATTGAGCGGGACTGAAGTGAAGGCACTGCTAGATGTGCTGCCCGTGATGTTCCCCACAGACTCGGAGGAGACGATGCCAGGAGTAGTCTGCGACGAGATCGTAGCGTTGGCCGAAGACAGCGACGCGACCGCAGTTCCATTCAGGGCTGACGTCGGGGATTGACTGGGAGTGAGGTCTATGGTCGTTGTCAGGTTCCAGGACGGACGCCCAGTGCCTGCGGACGCGACAGGGGTAGTCTGAGCCGAGCTGGGGCCACCGACAGATGTGTCTGCCGAAGGAGACAGTATCAAGGACGCTGACGAATCCAGAGACACAGTCGTGAACAAGGAGGGCGTGACCGAGGGCTTTGTAGACGCAGATGCCGTCTCATTGACAAAGGAAGCGGTGCCTGTAATTGGGATGGGTGTGCCGAAAGAAGAAGAGCTTGAGAGGCTCGGGGAGCTGGTCTCTGAAGTCGAGATATTGGCAGAGCTCGTGGACCGCGAGATTTCCTCTTCAGGACATGTCGGCATCAGGGAGACAGATGGGGGTTGAGTGACGGTGACAGTGATTGGCTGCTGCTCAACTGTTGTCGGGACAGACGTTGTGGCTGTGACGGTCACCACGGAGGTATCATGGCTATCTCCCCCTGGTACGGAGTAGTAGGTTATCACTACGTGGTCAGCAGATGAGGTTGAAGGCGCCACGGTTTGGCTGTCATCTGTGCCGCCACCAGCTGGCAAGCTAGTTGTGTAGGTCGAGACCCGAGGAGGGATTCCATCCTCGCCAGAGATAATGGTGGTGATGATCTTGGGTGTACTGGAGGGGGTCGATGGGAGGTCACCAGGGGCGCCCGTCTCAACAGGGCCCGACGGCCCATATGGAACGAATGTAGCCGGAGACTTTGATGCAACATCTGTACCGACAGTCTCTGGAGGGAATGGAATCTCTGAGATGAGGCTACCTGATGGGAATGGAACATCTGGAATAAAGGTTTCCGTGGGCCGTGGAACCTCTGGGATGTCAGATTCCGCCGGGATCGGAAACTCGGTGATGATTATTCCCGAAGGGATCTCCGGAGCTGCTGTGGCCGGTGGAGTGGGAAACTCCGAGATTTCGGTTCCTGACAAGGTTGGCAGAGTCTCCCACTCTGGCTCCCTAGTCTCGGTGATGAACGAGAAAGTAGACTCTCCGATGGAGATTGAGAAGTCTCCTGTGGTGGGCTGCGGAATGTCGGGGATCTCGGGGGTTGGGAAAAGCGTCTTGGTCAATTCAGTGAATGACGACTGTCCAAGAGGGATGGTCACCGTGAAGACAACGCTCGAGTCCAGTTCCGGCATAGAGAATGCCGCAACAGTGATTCCCTCATCACCCTCGCCGGCGTCCGTCTCTGGGGATTTAGCCGTCCAAGTCACGTTTCCTGGAGCGCCTGTAGGCTTGGCATCATCAGGTGTCAGGGTGAAAGTGGTGACGACAACCATAGGCAAGGTGTGGCTGCCAGACGCGGGGATGGTCTTCAGGGTCCTAGTAACCAAGCGAGGCGAGCCTGTCTTGACAACGGTGGTATCGAATGCGGGCTCCTCGGAAGACGGGGCAACAGCTGGTGGGCCATACTCGGGAAAGGAGAGCTGAGGAACAGTGACGGTGGTTTTGCCAAGGGTGACGGTGCTGACAATGGAGTTGATGGTTGAAAGAGTGTTTGTGGCAATCGTCACCGTCTTGGGTGGCAGTGTCACAAGCTCTGTCGAGACTGCATCGCAGGTGTCGTTCCATCCACTGCAGGAACAGTGGGAGTCAACAGGAGTAAAAAGTGCAGGTAAAGCGATAGAGCGACACAGAGAGAGGCCAACGCAGAATTTTATTTCGGGTCGGATTGGAGGGACATACCTGGTCTTGGACGCAACCGAGGACAGCGCCAGACTGGAAGCGACCAGACGCCTCAGAAGCTTGGTGAAACGCATCCCTCTCGGCGGTCCCCACAGATTCCCGGGGCGAGATTACCGTTGTACTGAGGGTGTCGTGAAGTGGAAGGCTACCCGAGTAGAGACAAGGTTGGAGAACCCCAAGAATCCAAAGGCAAATTGAGGCACCTATCAGACCAGGCAGCGGGCGTGGCTGCTCGTGTAAAGAGCGTGAGCTGTCTCGGTGACCGCAAGATAGTGAGAGAACGAAGGACCATGCAGTAAGAGAAAGGGAAACGAGAGCGGCGGGTGGAGGAAGGGAGAGTGGTGGTGAAGGAAGAGACCAGATGGGGTGGGGAGTGGAAATGGCAAAAACATTGAGCAGCAGCAGAACAACCTCCGCCCAAACACGTTGGGACACCAAGCCAGGCAGCCTCCTCCGTCGGGAAGGCGTGGTAGAATCACGACGAGAGCAGCAAGAACGTGCCCGCCCTAGGAAGGCAGCCCAGCCTCTATCTGCAATCGACTGCAGAAGGGAAGACCTTCCTCAACAGGATCTCCCAGCCGCTCCTTCCCTTGTAGTGAAGAGGTGCATGCGGAACGGAAGGTGCTGCATCAAAGTGGGACGCGTGATATCCGCGAGAGTACCTACCTAGCGACATTCCCGGAAGGAGCCTCACGAGCTAGAATTCTGGACACCAGGTACTCCAATCGGCCTTTTGAGCCCGGGCAGCATTTGAGCTGCGAGCACCCCTTCTTCTCGTCTGCTCCAGCCCAGTAAAACGCTAGATGCACTTTCGACTTCTCGGACTGATCTTCAAGGCTCAAACTAGCGGTGTGGTGTTCTCTCTCTTGGGAAGGGGACGTATCGGCGACACAGATCTTGGCCTCCCCGGCGATTGCCTAGGCTGTAGAAAGCCATGAACGAGAACTTGCACGGCCGTCATGGTGGCATATTCTGTTGCTCGCCCTACCTCACAAGTCACACTACCTACACTGGATCATCCTCGTATGGGACTCCAGCGGCTCGAGCCGCCACCGCATCTTCCGGAACAACCACCCTCGTTTCCGACTCCAATTTCGCAACCCAGAGCGCCGCGCCCGCCGTGGATGTGAGGAGGAAGAAGAGGGACAGCACAGGGACCAGCTCCAGAATCATGGCGGCGGTGCCAAACCAGATGTACTCCCAAGTCCGCTTTGCGTTTTCCTCCTTGCGCTGCCGGCGGTCCAACCCCCGTAACTGGTACCATCTATAGTGACACAGCTTGCCAAGACGCGTGCCTGTGATGGTGATGAAGGCCGGGACCCCGACAACGGGCACGAGGTTCAAGGGCAGAAAGATGATGAGCTCGGCAATTTGTGTCAAGCTCCAGGGAGAGTAAACCGCCGGCGAGGTGGGCTTGCCTAGCATCTTGACCGAGTTGGGCGCATCGGGGAAGAGCAGTCGGTGCGGGGCGATCAGATCGGTCAGTGAGAAGTTGATCAGGATTGCCTGCGAATGCCAGTTAGCCACCGAAGTTTACGTTGCTCCCCTGACGCTGCTCGGTGTGGAGATGTCCAGCTGCCATCAAGGAGTGGGTGGGAGAAAGTGGCAGGCGGCGACATACATCAAACACGTCAACCCTGACCTCGTCAACAAAGAAGCCTTCGAACAGGGCCTGGATAATGATCAACCCTTCGCCAAGCACCAGGACGACGGCGTTTACCCAAGCGCCCCATCCATGGAAGATGGCAAGAAAAGCAAACTGGGGCAGGAATGCGAATGCGAAGAGTATAAAGTAAACGAGCAGCGATATGAGCGACAATGGGAGGAGGCGGCCCGCAAATAGGGGGTAGAATTCGGGGTGACGGAGGAAGTAGTAAATGCCAACGAGAGGATAGGAGCCCGCTCGTAGGCCCCTCCAGAGATAGTTTAAAGGGCGCGAGAAGGGTTTGGTCAGCGACTGCATGTGCGAAGAATTTCGGTTCCCCGCCGCGGGGTCGCTAGGAGGCGGCATTTTTGCCAATGTTGTTGGCGAGCAAAATGTGAGGTAAATGGCGATACCGAGCGGCGCAATACAGTGAGGTGTCGTTGTTGGTGTTGAAAAGAGGGAAGTTTAGCTCTGGCGTAGGAGTTGGTGTTCGTGCACATGACGACATCCCGAGGCAGAAATGCTTGACTCAGCTGAGGCAAAGGGGGATATGATTGGTCAGATGATGGAGCTCCTGCTCCACTAGCGCGGCGCGAATCTTGGGGGGACTGCGCGCAGCTCGTTTGTTCGCGACTTATCCTTGTTCGAATTTATTTTTGGTCATCACACAGGGAAAAGCCGTCCAGCCCTCCTGTCCAGCCGAGGAGACCATGAAATGGCAAGACGAGCATCGTTCGTGCTGATTGATAAATATCACCTTCTACCCAAGTCAGAACTTGATGCGCAAATGCCTATAAATTGGCCTATATACAACACGCCCACATATTTGGGCGTCGTTAGTTACTATGTACATCATACTCATCAATGCCTGTATTCGCTATGGCTTTCTCAACAATCCTTAGGCGACAAGCTGGGTCATTCATCCATCTTCATCCGCCTAGCACTTGTTCTGGCCGTTGCCGGCAAAGTTGCCAGGCTGGTAGGCGCCGCCGGCGTCGCCGAGACAATCGGCAACGGTCACCAGGGCCAGGTTGTTCTGCTTCGCCCAGTTGATGAGCCAGGGCACAAGAACCTCGACGGTGCTCTGGTAGGTCTCGTGCATGAGAGGGATGTGGCCGTTGCCGCCAGCGCCGGCCCGGGTAAACTCGGCCTGGCTCTGCTGGGCCGACTTGCCGTTCCAGTCGCCCGCGTCAATGTCGTTGGTGATGACCTTGTAGCCGAGGGTGCGCATGGTGTTGAGCACCTGGCCGCCCGTGGCAAGGTACGGCGGGCGCATGTAGGCGGGCTTCTTGCCGAAGATGTTGACAAAGGCCTGCTCCAGGCGCTGCATCTCCTGGGTGATGGCGTTGCCCTGGAGGTTGCCAAGGTTGGCGTGAGACCTGCGGAGGAGGCGAGTTAGCGACGGTTTTTGTGGGCGAAAACAAAAGGAGTACCAGAAACCTACCAGGTGTGGGACGAGATCTGATGGCCCGAGTTATAGGCACTCTTGACGGCAGATGCCTGGTTGTAGATGCAGCCATAGAGCGTGCCGGTGAAGAAGAAGGTTGCTTTGGCATTGGCGGCGTTGAGGATGTTGACCAGCCTCTGGGTGTACTGGTAGGGCCCATCGTCGAAGGCCAGAGCCAGCGTGTTGGGGCGAGCGCACTTGGTGTAAACCACGCCCGGGTTAGGGGCCCTCCGGATCATCTCGATGGGGTTCGGCGCCGGGTAGGCCCAGGCAGGGGCCACCTCAGCCGCCAGGAGGACCAACGACGCAACAGAAAAGAGCATCTTGCAGGTTGTAAGAGGCGCCTAGTCAAGGAGATATCGAAAAAAAAATAGATCGACGTGTGTCCAACAGCCAAGTGTAATCGCCAATCAAGGTCGGCGGCCTAAGCTGCACTCGTTACCGGCGCCTAAGCTAGACAGAGAGGATGATGGGTAGCCTCTCCTCCAACAGCTCCTGCCCAGAACCTGGGTCAACCTATTTCTACTTTTTTATGTATCATGATGTACCCCAGAAACGGGAGCGTGGACCCGTTGTGCATGGAACTTGGTCGGGCAACTCGGTTGCATGGGAAACATTGGATGGATGGGTCCCTGCTTTCCTGCTTTCGGGGCACGGGGCACGAAAGCATGGTGATGATAATTATTCCGTGGATAATGGACAAGGTCCCAGCCGCAGCTGCCTTTAGCCGGCAGATTCACCCCTCTGTAGGCGGGTCGGATATGTGGGATAGCCGTTTTGGGCCACGGAGATTTTGACCAAGTGCCGCTGAACCCCAACCACCAGCGGTAGCATGGGCGTATGAATTGTGGGGAGAGAGCAAGAGCGATATTTTAAAGCACATGGTGAGGGCGATCAGCCGCGTTTGGTGTGTAGTGCCTGGTTTCACTGGTGGACGATGGTTGGAGAACTTCCTTGCGTATATGAAGGAAGTCCTGGTTGCGCTAGTTCCTACAAAGGCATGGTCTATGAAGAAACGGATCAAGCGAGCCGTCAGTCGATGCCCAGAGCGTGAAAACACTGGATTGCGTAACCTCGAAAATGGCAACACCCGACTCCTCAAGGAATTTAATGCGAGGGCTGGTCTGCTAGGGGCGCTTCCAATAAGATCAGCTGATGAGGTGTTTGAGGTGGGAAACTATGGGGGTGGGACAAACACCCGTCCATTTCGGAGCCGCCGCCAGAAGCCGCCACGATAAGGAAACCCCACGCACCTACCCCAAAAGCATCTTCACCCCCGCCAAGCATACGCATCGTCACTTCCTTGGCCTTGTGGACCTGGTGCCTAACCACGAACGACACCTCTGCCTCATTGGTTTCTGACCAAGCCGCTCGGCCGAACAACTCCGCCCCCTGCCTGACGCGCACTCGACCTGACACCTGAAAGCAAACACCACAATGGACGTCCAATGCCAGTGCGGCGCCGTCTCGTTCCGGACGCCCTCATCCGTCCCCCAGGCCGTCTTCCACTGCCACTGCACCCAGTGCCAAGCCCAGTCGGCGTCGGCCTTTGGCACTTCAGCCGTCTTCCCCACAAACGGCATCTTCCCGCTGAGCCCTGAGCTCGAGGCCAGGCTCGGGCTGTACAACCGCCCCGCCGAGCGCGCCGACAGCGGCCGCGTGGTGCGATGCTACTTCTGCAAGACATGCGGCGTCCGGCTCATGCACCTCGGCATCGAGAAGGACGGCAGCCCGAGGTCCTTTGTCTCGGTCAAGGGCGGCAACATCAAGGGGCTTGACTGGAGCTCCGCCACGCACATCTACACCGAAAGCGCCGTCGTGCCTATCCCGGCGGGCGTCAAGTCGTTCCCCCGTGCGCCGTCGCCGTCCTCTTGATCTTGCCATAACCGCAAGATATAGATTGCAGTCGAGAATCAGAGCGACGACGTACATATTCTCTCCGAGAAGAGCCAGGGGGTGAGATTGTTGCTTGTGATTGCTTGTGTACTTTTTTCCTGCTCACTATCTTTTCAGATCTGTCCAGCCCCTGAGCACGAGACACAGCATCATGGGGCTTGACAAAGTTTACGCATTGAGGCATGTGGAATCGCCAACAAGCTGCACCAACATGCCGGTTGTCTTGTTTGCTCAGGTCGCTTTCTCTTTCTCACATTCACTAATCCCTATGTAGTTAACTGCCCATCAATCTGCCTACCAAATCATCATATGCCCACCTATTCAGGGACACGCCTGGGCAACTCGTTTGCGTAAACAAGGTTCGCGGCTACAAACAAAGCCACTGAGCTGAAATCTGCTTCTTGACTGTCGAGTCAGTGTCGCGAGGCTCCAAGGCCGTGCCCATCAGGTCTGGAAGCCCAGACTCAGGGTCCGGACCGTCCATGACGGCACGGCGACCGCGTATGGCTCTTCACTACCCGGGAACGCGTCTTGGCAGACCGAGCGCGACGACTTTCTGTGGATAAACTCCCGGGAGCTACGCAGCACCTTGTTTGGGTCCATGGCCGCGCTGTGTAGAGAGCTCCCACGGACCCGCGTTTGCCCTTATTGTTTTCGGTGGTGATGGGGAGGTGCTTCCTTAGCCCTACCTGCATCTTCTTGCCTGCATATCCCTTCCTGCAGATTTCTGTCTGTATCTCTTTACCTGCATCTTTTTAGTTGTGACTCTTGCCTGCGTCCCAACCTCCTTGATTCTTCACAGCCTATACACCGAACTCTGCCGCATTCACTAGTCTACAAGTCAGTTGATCTCGGCCAGCAGGCTGGCCTAACACCGAGCTGGGTTCAAGGTCGTGCCGTCTGCCTGGCTGATCTCTCGATGGACTGCGGCCTGGAATCTGCCCCAGGTGGCCGGCGGCCGAGGTCAGACCATACCCTATGCCAAGTGCGCAGCTAGCTTGCATAGGCGCAGCGCAGCTAACCACTCCCGTCTTTATCCCTGTATCAATGTTGAAGCTTGTCGCGAATCTCATTGCCTGCCCCTTGGCCTATCTGTTGCTGGGAAGGACATATTCTAGATTCCACAGCTTGATACCGAGCTCTTCTCCCGCTCACTGACTCTGGCATGTGTCTGGCATGTCCATGGAAGCCCGAGCCGACTGCTACTCGCCCCTATCTCATGCCCCCTTATCTGGCCGGTTTTCTCGTTGTCGTTGTCAAAGCCCTCCCGGCGGCCCGTCCCCCTTATTTCCAGCCAAGGGGTTGGCACAAAAAGGCTGGCACCTCCCGCCTAGATCCTCTACCCGATTTGGGCTTCCTTTCCCATAACAACCATATCGTACTTTCTGGTGCTGTCCAGGCCTCTCCCAGCTGCCTATTTTCTCGCGGTGGCTGGCGGTCACCTGCCAATCGCTGGCCTTGCACTTTCCAGCAACACATTAGGAAAATCACGGACTGAATCGGCTCCTGTGCTTCGATCAGTTTCTGATTACTATCCGCCTTCACACTCACCGCAGCCGCCGCGGCAATGGGATCTCTGCACGGCCCGTCATCGGGGCTCTCACTCGAGGGTGAAGTGCTGCTGGTGTGCATCCCGACGGAGCCAAAACTGGAGTGGGTGACTGCCATGGAAGAGAGATATCCGGGGCTCGAGATCCGATGGGTGGACCGTGACTGGTACCTCGACACCAATGTCTTTGCCAGCGGGACTCTGAACCTACCCGCGGGTTTGTACGACGGTGTCACTATGGTTATGTCCTTCATGCCACCCAAGCCAGAGGACATGAAGCGCGTCCGGTTTGTGCAGCTCACTTCGGCCGGCGCCGACCGCTGGGTCACCCACGACGTTTACAGGGATCCAAACGTCATGTTCTGCACTGCCAACGGTATACACGCGTAAGTATTGCCTAGATTCGCTTGGATGGGGCGCGGGAAGGTGAGGGTTTCAGAGCTTGTTTGCTGACATTCTACCCTGGTGAACATTGTTGCGCGCTTGAAGCACGCAGATATCGGAATGGGTCATCGGCACGTGGTTGATGGCGCAGCACCACTTCCTGCGGGCAAGCATGCTCATGAAGCAGGCTCGCTGGGCTCCAGCTGAGGAGTTCCACCAGACTGTGGACAGTCCTGGATTGCGCATGTGAGTGGCCAAGCAAAGCGAAATATCCAAAGCGGCTTCAGAGCTGACAATCCAGTCCAGGGGCGTCCTCGGGTACGGCGCCATCGGCCGGCAGTGCGCGCGCGTGGCGAGCGCCATGGGTATGGAGATATACGCATACACACGTACGGAGCGAAGCACGCCCGAGGCGCGGAGGGACGACTCGTACCACATGCCCGGCACGGGCGACCCGGACGGACTGATCCCGGCCCGCTGGTTCCACGGTGTGGGCCGCGAGGCCGTCAACGAGTTCCTGGCCCAGGACCTCGACCTCCTTGTCGTCAGCGTCCCGCTCACAGATTCCACCCGCAATCTTCTGGGGCGGGAGCAGTTTGACATACTGGATAAAGGACGCCTATCGGACGCCTTTCGTCCCAAGAATGGCAATGGGTCGCACCCTGACGGTCAAATCAATGGGAAGAATGGAAATGGGAACCATAACAACGGTCACGTTGGTGGGATCAATGGCAACGGGGTGCTCCCGAATGGAAATGGTCTCCTTACCAATGGACACACTAATGGCTATAGCAATGGCACCAATGGCACCAACGGCACCAACGGCATCAATGGCAACGGGCAGCAGCAGCACACAAAGAACAGCCACGTCAACGGCAATAGGACCACCCGCCATGGCGGCAAAAAGACGTTTGTCTGCAACATCGCGCGGGGCGGCATCATCGACACGGCGGCGCTGCTCGAGGCGCTCGAGCGCGGCCAGATCCGCGGCGCCGCGCTCGACGTGACGGAGCCCGAGCCGCTGCCGCGCGACCACCCGCTCTGGCGCGCGCCCAACGTCTTCATCACCCCGCACGTCAGCTGGATCACGCCCTGCTACTGGGACCGCCTGCTCCGGATCCTCGAGGGGAACCTGGACCGCCTGCGCGAGGGCCGGCCCTTGCTCAACCTGATGAACCGCAAGGAGCAGTATTAGAGCCATGTCTTTCTTTTGTGCTTTCTGGTGCTTGAAGGGTTGTTTACGTTGGTCGCTTCCAGTTTGCTGCTATATTTTCTAGTGCTATCCACCATATAATTAAACAGGACTCGATGAGGGTTAAGAGAAGAGGCATGGAAGCTATATTGTGGTGGGAGCAGATAGTATGAAGTAATTACCTACTTAGCCACCACCTCGGTTCTAACAGTGGGTTTTTGGCATTTCAGTTCGTATCCGCATGTTCCCAGAATCACCAACACCATCTCATCAGAATAATAGAATATCATTACTGGTTGGGGTGAATGTTCGTCTATACCCTAGGATTATTAAAAGAATATGGTCCGTGATCCTGCCCGGTCGTGTGCCCTGGTTTCGGCGGCTGCTGTGCTGCTGCTGCCCGCCCTCGCCAACAATCTGGTTGGCCCGACCCCGCTCAACCCGACCAGACGGGAAAGCCGCATCGAGGCCGTCGTGAATCTTGCCATGTAACGCCCCTGTTTCTCCCCTCCATCCCTTATTCTCTATATGTACGCACAACCTCCCCGCGCGTGTCGTCTATCAGCCATCATTACAAAGCCAAATCGCCACGATATTGCTTGACTTCTCTCATCTGGCGGTGAGGCGTCTAGGCCCCACAAGTCCATCCAAGCTAGGGAAAATAACCAACACGCGCAAAAGTACTCCCTCCCATGGTCCAGTTTCTTCATGAACCGCCGAGCATCCGGCTCAGAGACTTCCGGCTGCTGCTCCGGGCCACAGAGGTGCTGGTGGCTAGGATGCTCGGGCTCTTTTTGGCGGCGGCCGTTGCGTCGGGGAAGGCACCATGTCCGGGGCTGGAGACTTCGTCGTCAGGGACGCTGCCACCGACAAAGGTCCACTCCTCGGTTTCGTCGTCCACGTCGTCATCACCATCCGTCGTGCCGTCCTCATTCTGCGTCTTCTGCTGCTTGGCGTTCTTACTGGCCTTGGCCTTGATTAGGCTCGTGGCGTACTCGAGGTCACGGTAAATACACTGGATAGCCGTTTCGACGCCACTCTCCTGTTATACAGCAAGTTTGGTTAGCAGGACGCCAAAAAAAGAAGAGAGAAAAGGGTTGATTCTGGTCGTACCTTTCTGATTTGCTCGCCTAGGACGCGGGCCTTGACAATCATGCGGTCACTGTTAGTGGCCTCCCAGAGTGCTCTTGCGAAGCTGTTGGTGCCCCATTTGCGCAGACAGATGCCGACGCCGAGATCCTCGACGCGGGCACCGAAGAAGAACTGGTCTCCAAAGAATGGCCGAATGATGGTGGGCACGCCGGCGCGTAGGCTAGCCCCGGTCGTGCCGGATCCGCCGTGGTGCGCCACAGCGTCCACCTGCGCGAACAGCCAGTCGTGCGGCGCCGACTTGATCTGCAGTATTTCGGGTGGCAGCTTCGGCTCCACCTTCGGCTTCTCGACGCTCTCCTGTCGGTCTGCACCTTCTGTATTGTCCTTCTCCTTCTCTTTGCCATCGCCCGCACCGTCTGCTGACGGCTTCGCCTCATTGCTACCACTCATGCGATCAGACCAGCCCTTGGACAGGACGCATCGCACATCCGACTTGAGGACTGCGTCAACTACCTCCTGGGTCATCTTGACAGGGTCTGGCACGACGATACTCCCAAACCCGACGTAGACAACCTTCTTTCCGTCCCGTCGCGCCTGTTCGATGAAATCGGTGAGCTCGGGCGGGGGGATCCAGTCGGCGCCGCTGGCCTTCGCCACCGGCTGCTCGCTCTTGCTGTTGTCATCTTCTTCTCCGCCTTCGCCCGACTTCACCTCGGCGGCAGCCTTGTTGGGCGTTCCCTCATCGAGGAACCAATATCCGGTCACGCGGATCCAGTCGCTGTAGTCAAGGGGCGGTGGCACCACGTAGGGGCTAAAGTTGTACAGGAACGGCACCTTGTTGGGTTGCATCTTCTCAAGGCTCGTGTTGGGCAGCCCCAGCACGTGGTTGCGCCAGCGGTTGACCTGCTGCGCCGTCATCTTCCAGAACATGTTGTCGAACATGACATACGTGACGTAGTTGTAGGCACCGCCCATCTTGTGCTCTGGCATCACAAAGGCGTGCGGGTACGCGCGTGTGCGCGTCCACGGCATCGTGAAAGCGCGGAAGTAGGGAATCTGCAGCGCCTCGGCGATGTGGATGCCTGCCATAGCGCTAGGGCTCTCGATAAGCAAGTCCGAGCCCTGACAGGCTTCCCAGCAACTGGCAAGGAGTTCGTCCAGCCAGCCCCGGAACTTAGACGCCGCCACCTTGAGAAATTGCCACGTGAAAGTCCCGTTCTCGATGCACAGCTGCATGAGCTCGCCAGGGTCACCCCCCACTCGCGCGAAGTCGATGCCGTGGGATCGGATCCATGGCTCAAACTCTGCATGGGTGGCGATTCGCACCTGGTGGCCTTCAGCCAGCAGGCCCTTGGCCAGCGCAATATACGGTTGCACGTCGCCTCTCGAGCCAATAGTGAGACATGTGACACGGAGCGGATGTGGCGGCTTGAAGTTCAGGAACGAGGCTTTGGGGTCGTCGAACAGGATGGTGGGCGCGTCACTGACTACCGATGTCTGCTTGGGCAGCGGTATTTCGTGCTCGGGGTGCTCTTCCTGGCGGGCCTCCTGCAGAGCATCCCGTTCGGCAGCGGCCGTCTCTGCGTCCTCCTTCTCCTCCTGACACAACAGGCCCGAATCGCGGAGGTAGCGCGCCTCCTCGAGCTGTTGCAGGAGAGTGATGGTGCAGTCATCACGGATATCGGCCTGGCCGAACTCGAAAAAGAGCTCTTCGTGCCCACGGATGACGACAACCAGCCCTGAGTACCCGAAGCGGAAGCCCTTCTCCTTGTGCGCATTCTCGATATCCTTGAGCGGGAGGATCAGCTTAGTGCGCGTGCCGGGCAGGAGACTGCGGAAGCAGAAGGAGCGGTCGCTGATATAGATCTTGCCGTAAAGTGGGAGCACGCGGATCATGTAGCCAAAGTAGGTTGCCACCAGCTTCTCAGACTCGGGGAGGGCAAAGTGTTGGCGGAACCGTTCCCTCGAGTTTGCCACTTTGTCTTCATCATCGTCTTCGGGCATCTCGTCATCAATTTTGAGAGCAGCATTCTCGTCGTAGTGTCGACGTCCACCCTTCCACATGCCTGAAACCTTCTCGACATACCCCATTGATTCGGTCGCGAGGAGATTGCTCATGCGGCGGAAAGGCGATAGGGGCCGGTTGAGGTAGCCCGCAAGAGCGCCGGCGCTTCTGACAGGGAGCGAAGCCATAGTGGCGAGCCCCTGAATTCCTGGCGTGGGCGGACCTTGCTGGATACCAAGGCCAGTCCCGGAGTCCTGCATACTCCCTGTCGTGGCAGCACGATCGACCTTGATGGGAGGGCTCCACTGGGCGGTCTTTGTCAAGGCCTGGTTGTCAGTGGGTGAGGAGTCGGCCGCAACCTTGGGTCGAGGGTCCGAGGGAGAGCGGCGGACTGTGGGGCTGTGAAAGACATCGCTGCCCCTGAGGATCTGGCTGGCCGACTGGTCTTCGCTGGATGACGCGACCAGAGCCGAGAGGCTGGCCTGGCTGGGATCCTCGATGGATTGAACGTACGAGTCGGACGACTCCTGCTTCTCTGGGATGGTGCTATGCTCACCCAGCTTATGGCGACTCCTCGACCGAGCGTGCCGGGTTCCGCTAAAACTCCGACGCTCCTGTGATTCCTCGCGCACAGTCACAGCTGTGTTGAGATCCAAACTCCTCCTACCAAAGGTGCGCAGGGCATCGAAGCTACTACGGGTAAAGTCGCCGCTGGCACGGGGGCTCGGGTTTGGTGGGCTGGCCGGTCCGATCGGAGATAGTGTCGCCCGCACATTGTCATTCAGTCTCGCGGGTCGGCGTTCCTGGCTGCCCGACGGAGAGTTTCGCTTGGTGGAGGGGTTACGGGATGGCACTCCGTCTTTCGGGGCCTCTGGACGCCACTGGCCTGGATCGTCCGACTTCTGGGTGCCGCTGGAACCGTCGGTCAGGATTCTGATGAGATTGATGGCTTCTTTTCCGAAGCTGAAAAAGGAAAAGAAGTATTCGTCAATGGCATAGGTCTCGTCGTTGTCGATGACGCGGATCTTGCACGTTTCGGCGAACTGGACGAGTTGCATCTCCTCCACATCCATGACGTTCTGGAGAGGCAGAGAGATCTTGACGCTGTCGCCATCGTTGTGGGAGCGGAAGATGACGCGCTGCAAGCTCTTGACCCATTCGTTGGCACTGGGAGCGCTATCAGCGCGGAAGTGGTAAGTCCGTTGGTGGGTGATGACGGTGAAGTTGACACCCTCCTTGTCCTTGTCTGTGACGCTGGCTGAGATTCCATAACGTAGGTCGATTTGGCCGCTTGGAAAGTACAGATTGGAGGGATCTCGATAATAGGCCATGACATCGCCCTTAAGACGGAACCAGTAGCGGTTATACTTGGGATTCCGCTTGCCGCTCTTGGACAGATACCCAGATTTGGCCACCTCATTCTATGAGTGCGTCAGCATACTGGGGACCATAGAGAGATATGAAGCGAGTAGTGATGAACTTACGGCCTTCTTGGGGAGGTATGCGTAAAAGCAAATATGGTTCTTGGTGATGTACATATAACCCTGAAGCAGGACGCTCTGGAGCAGCCAGCAAGGGTACTCCTCGATGACATCCTCGATTACGTCGAACTCGAAGATCTGCTTGAGCTTCCTTGCCAGTGGACTAGGACGGCTCTCGCCGCTGACGGGAGAGTTGGTGCCAGAGGTACCCTCGAGGTCGAGGCTGGGGCGCGAGGATGACAGCTCGGCCCTCGCCTCGAGCATTCTGGTCATGACGGGTGGCAGTCGGCGGTCGGCGGGGGAAGCAGCATGGAAGGCCCCGACGGCAGGCGAGATGGGAGAATCCACCTCGTCCTCCTCTGCGATCTGTGGCTCCTTGGCCTTGTTCTTGTTCTTGCGCGACAAAGACGACAGCCTCTTAGGCATCGTGAGCATCGGCAGCGACCGCAGAAGCTTGGAGCCTGACGTTTTCCGACGCTTCTTGTCAACCTCGAGATTCGGGGAATCTTTCGGCGGCTTCTTTCCACTGATGACTGTGGTCTGGGCCATGCCGTGGCGGCTGCGCGGGTCAGGCTCGTCGTCATCGGCCGGTGAGTCGTCGTCTTCCTCGTCACTGCTCGCTCCCTCAAAGCGGTCGTTGAAGTCAACCGCGGACCCGGCGGCAGCGATCAGACCGAAGATGCTCTGGTTCATGTTGAAGGCAGGGCGCGGGTTGGCATCGTCGTCGTCCTCCGGGTCGCTTTCGCGCAGGCGTTCGGGTATTTCCATTGTGGGTGAGTGAGGAGTGTGCACCCGCTTCTTCTGGAGCTTCCTGGCGCGCCTCTTGGCGTCGTCTTCGCTCGGTCGGCGATGTCGGTCGAGGGAGGGTCGGGCGGTTTGACGGCTCGATAGTGCTCTTCTCAGCGGCGGAGAGACAAGGGGAGGCGGAACAGTGGCTAGGTGAACAGAGGTGGGAGCGAGAGGCGGAGGTGGAGAGGATCTCCTGCTTGTGTCTGGCGGCGGCGGCGGCGGCGGCGGCGGAGATGCCATGGCAGGCGGTAAGACAGGCAGCCGGTTGGCGCCGTTTTCTCTCCGTTTCTGTGCTTGTTTTGTTCTGTACTTTCTTCGTCTCGTCTCTCAGTGCCCCTGTCGATGGTACGGCGCGTGTGCTAGCTGGGGTTGGGGTTGCAGTTGGAGAAGCACGAGCAGCTAGCCGCAGGCAGAAAGGAGGACGGTTGGGAAGCGGCGGCGGGAGCGAAGCTGATTGGCAGGGGCGGCGGGCGCGCAAGGGGCGGCGGCAGCGATGCCTAGAGCCGACGGCTTGGTGAGCCCCGAGCGGACATGCAGGCAGGAAATGGTGCGCTGGGTCGCTGGCGACTGGTTTGGATGTGCTGTGTGACCACAAGGCACAGGGTCGATGTCGGCACCCAGGCTGGGCAGCGGTTTTGGTGACCGCAGGCAGCGACAGTGAAGGGACCAGACGTTCAACGAGCGCTCGGTGTTTATGCCTGATGCCTGTTCCGACCGACACATCCGTCGCACAGTGTTCGTTCACCAGGGTTCCATCCACCAAAGCAAGCTGCCTTCCGTCTCCTTTGCGTGCTGGGCTGATGGTTTTGTTCTTGCCAAACGCCTCCTTTTTTTTTTCTTTGATTCCTCTGCCTCCCTATTCTCGTCCCAGCCAATCTCGATTACTGGATTCTGGGAGCACGGTCGCGCGGTTCTGGCAGCTGGAGCCTCCACTGTGAGCTCAACCCGCCGGGCTTGGCGATGGTCCCGGCTCTCAACAGGGCGAAGGTTCCACTGCGCACAGGGGATCTTTCTGGGCCGACAGGGTGCAGTGTGCAGCGGGCAGAGTATCACTACCACGGACCTTGTGTCTTGTGAAGCTTCAACCTCGCCTCGATTCCAGGACCAAGTGGTGTGGGGGCTGGACAGCCAGAGTCAGGCGGGCAGCGCTGCTGATTTGTTTTGATGGGCACGGGGCAACGAAGCCGTGCTGACGGGGTTTGATGGTTGTCAACGGGCGTGCGGGTGTTCAACAGTCTCTGTGAGTCGCAGCGCCTCACTTGAAGTGGGCGTGACGCAATCTCGCGGACACCTGTGTCAGCGACTCAAGCCGCCTCGCCCCGGTAGCTCTGGCCCAAGATTGGGTGGGGTGAGGTGTGGGGGTCGAGCGTCGGGATGCTTATTCTGTCCTGCCGGGCGACGGACTGGATGAAGCTGTCAGTCATGGAGGCCACCTAAATGGGCGTCAAGACGCGATAATCCCTGGACAGACGATGGAGTGGCTGGCCGCCCCCCAGATCTTGATCGACAACTTGAAATGTGTTGCCGCAGGAGATGGAGCATCGCCTTGTTTTCTTCTATACCTTTGGCGCGCATTAGCCCTTGCGCTCCTGGCAGGCCGCATTCGTCGTGGCTCTCAATCAGGATAATTCTGGGTCCCACACCGGTCAAGGCGGAAGTCGCGCCAGTCGCCAACACCAAAGTACGACCGCCCGTACCACTGTGCCGTCCTGATAGAGATGCGTATGCACATTTCACGGAGGCTCATTGAGCGCAGTTAGCACGTTGGTATCACATGCAAGCTGTCGTATGGACCGAAGCTCTGACCAGTCCAAGGCCACTCCGTCCATCCATCCTGTTCATTATCATGATCGCATGCTGTAGCACTAATGAAAGCTGCCAAATCCGTTCGTTCCGCTCTGACTGAATGGCATGACGACAGAGGCGCTCTACTGATTCAATGACTGCCAAATTCGCGGAACTGTTCCTGGGTAGGCGACCTGCGACGGACTCGAACCTACGCCTGCATTCGCCTCATTTTAGGATAGCTTGGTTGCGAAAACGGTACTGACGCTTTGTAGACATATTGGCCACCGCATGAGAAAATGGAACAAACAAGAGCAACAACGAACGATAAAACAGTATCGAGAGGGAAAAAAAAGCACCTGACCACATTGAGATTCAGGCGAAGACGAACAAAATACGTCCAGGTGCCATCCATGGACTCTTGTGAGATCGGACCCCAGAACGGCTCCAGGCGACCATTCATGGCAAAACTGCACGGGAAGTGGCCCTGCCCCACAGACAACAACCGTAGCGTTACATGCCGACTGGGCCATCCTTGCACGGCTCAGTGCTTGGTAAAATTTTCAAGCGCGATTTGGGACAAAAAAAAAGTTGAGATATCACCCCGCAAGCCCCAGGAGACTGTTTGGTCGTAGACTCAATTGCAACAACAGAAATGAGCACAACCATGCTTCCGTTTCTCTATCAAACTCGCACCATCCAAATGCTTCCCCGCCCGGCAGCACTTGGACGCCGTGTCTTTCGAAACCTGCTTCGCCCAGTGCCAGCGTGCACCTTTCACGGCAGCTCCGTTATCAAGAACAGCGACAAGTACACGGGGTCCAGCAGTCAAGACGACAATGACATCCCCTTTGAACTCCCCCCAGACCTGGCCGCCGACCCGCGCTTCAACCCGCCCGCCCATTCGAAGGAGGACAAGGTTTTTGGCACCATAACTCCCCGCGAGCGCCGCGCCTTCGACAACATCTTCAAGGACCTCGAGCTCGAAACCCTGAAGATAGAAGGCCGTTCGGCCCAGGCTCTCAACGACGCAATGATCCAGGAGCCGGATTCCTCACGCCACGAGTCAATTATTGGCAGGATTCTGTCCGACGCCGTTGGGGAGGACTGGGACTCGTCAACCCCGAACCTCCCCTCCAAACCCTTCATCGAGAGCATGCGTAAGCTACACAACGTTGGCTCCGACGGCCGCGCCGCCGGCAACCCCATGTCCCCCGCATCGCGGTATGAAGCCTTGCTTCGCTTCCCACCAAGCCTGCGCGCGGCCGCAAAAAAGGCCTTGGGAATCTCCGACCCCACTGCTTCCAAGAACGTGGAGGTGGCGGCCGAGGTCCCCAGCCCGTCGGAAGCCGCGCCTCCTCCCAAGCCTGCGAAGCAAGAGGAGCCACTACGCCTGGAGCGCACCATTGAGAACCACTATCTCGAACGTGCCAGGCTGGACGAGCGTAGGCGCGTTGAAAAGCTTATGTCTGCTGCCAAGACCGATTTTGAGCTGTGGGACGTGCTGGAGCGCGAGGTATTCTCCGTCATCAGCGCTCTCGGGCTAGACCAGCCCGCCCGCTTCGACAAGCCGAAATACCGCGGGGGGAGGAGGCCCAAGGGCGAGAATACGGCCGGGGCCCCCGAGGTTGAGAATCCCTTTGTGCCCAGTTCAAACGGCGAAACGGTCGAGCCTAATATGAATCTGCACGGCTACTTGTATCCGGAACACCTGGTGTGCGCGCTTCAGCTCATGGACTCTCGCTTCCCCGGCTCGCAGCTAGCGCTCGAGATCCTACCGCGCGTCAAGTCGCTCGGCCTCGAGTCCTTTGTTCTCGGCGCCAGTGCGCAGTTCTACACGATGCTCATGAGCATAATGTGGAACCGGTACAACGACGGCCACGCAGTCTTGAACCTGGTCGAGGAGATGATGCACGCCGGCCTCGAAACCACATATCTCGTGCACGGCAATCTGATCCGGGAAATGGGCCAGCTGGTCGAGACGGCAGGCTCGGGCCGGGCCGGCGATCTTGCACTGCACATCTCCTCTCACCCGACCTGGACTTCGCTCAGGGGAGTGAGGATTCCGCATCTGCACAAGGCTGTGATTGCTGAGCAGTGGAAGAAGAGAAGCCAGAAGGAACACAGGGTCTATGCACCATAATCCTGCGTCCTGGGCACAGCCGAGCCGCGCCGGCCATGGTTGCAAGTATTGTTTCCACGCCTGTATGATATGGTTCTGTTTTATATTCGTATATACCCACCTTTTCCATCTGTTTCCGACACTTTCACCATTGTCCGGTCTCCAGGTCTAGGTACTGGGGCAAGGGATATGAGAGCAAAACACTTGATGCTAGGCAGTCTCACCACCCTGGGTCTTCCTTTAGGATGGCCGGCGGCTCGCCAAAGCCGCAGTTCGGCGTCGGGCACACGGTCAACGTGTGGATGAACTTGATTCGGCCCTCCTCGACGCGGAACTCGTGGCTGTCGTGCAGCCCGCTCTGGCCGAATTTGAGGAAGACACCGGCTGTGCCGTACTCCTCGTCGATGACGTACCGACGGTTGACCAGCGGGATCCCCTCAGGCACGCCCGTGGCGCACGTGTCCCCGGGCTGCGTGTACAGCCCACCCTCGAGCCGGCGACAGCCCTCGGCCCACGGCACCACGACGGACGTGTCATTGAAGAGGTCGAGGTACGCGTCGGCCGCGGCCTTGATGACCGCGCGCGCGTCCCGCCGGCCCTCGGGGATGCGACCCCAGTCCTCCCGCAGCGCGTAGTGCAGGCCGTGCCGCGCGCTGAACAGCCAGTCCCCCGCGTCCGTGACCAGGGTCTCGATCCCGACGATGCGGCCCGTCACGCCGTCTAGCCGCAGCTGCGTGCCGATCTGGTACGGGTGCGCCGGGTCCGTGACGACCAGCTCGGCGTAGGCGGCGCACGCGACCGGGTCGTGCTGCGCGCGCGCGTGGTCGATGCGGAGCGGCCGCGACAGTACCCCACCGCCGCGCAGCAGCAGCCCGGCGGAGCCGTTGCCGTTCTCGACGTAGGCGACGGCGCCCAGGTCTGGTGCCAGCTGCTGCAGGTACCGCGGCTCGCCGGCCGACTGCGCGGCGATGTACCGCCGCGTCGCCTCCTCGAGGAGGGCGCGGGGGCAGGCTGCTGCCGCTGCCGCTGCCAACGTTGCCCACACCAGCTGGCGTTTCATTGTGTGCGTGGTTCTTTCTGAGATGAGAGGGTCAGACTGTTGGTTTTACGAGATGATTTGAACCTGTCTCTCGTCTTGATTCATGTAAACCGTGATAACATGACAAGAAACGCCACTACGGCGCACGGACACGCTTTTGTATCCGACTGGACGATATTCCGTCCGTCCTGGGTACCATCCGGCTATGTCGACCTCGTCTCGTTGCGGCATCATTTACCCCTGAGCAAGTTCCCCCTCCCGGGAAAATGGACGGGCGATATTGGGCTGCCAACTGCCGGCAGTTGCTCGCTTCGGAATACCTGGGGGAGGCACGCACGCACCTCCGATCCCCTGAGGCTTTCCAACCCTTATATTCAACCCTCGTCCTGAGGTCTTTCCCGGACGACCGAACCCCGCCGAGTTACCCAAGTCGGATAGCCAATGCTCCCAACCTTACCGACGCCACACCAGAATCGCCAAACCTTGCCTCGAGAGGTCGACAGTTCGAGTCCCGACGACGAATCAAAAAATCTCTGTTAGGGATTTTGGGAGTTTACCGGCTCCCTGGGCCAAGCTACCACCGCGCGGGCCTGTGTCAAACCGGCGAGGTCGACGGTCCGAGCTCCGCGAGAATAATCCTGAGGGGTTGGGGTGCCCGGCTGGGGGATGGGCACCCCCTAGGCCAAGCACCATACCTAGAAATTTGTCTAGGGGCCGTGTTATTCCGAGACGAGACCGGAGTAAAACCCTTGAGGGTTTTCGTAGCTGTCCACCCCTTGTGGGTTGGGCAGTGAGCTTTTGCCAGCCATTGTAAAACTGTTGTACAATAGCTCTTTCTTTCTTACAGGATAATTGTTTAACATTTCCTATCGCTATTTTTTCAATCAGCGCCTGGTTCGCTGCCCGTCTTTGTATACATATTGGCCTTTAATTATTTATGCAAAACACATCGACTTTAAAGTCGAACAATAATCCAAACACGCCTAGAGCGCGCTCGATCCTCGACCCATTAACGGCAGCCGGTTAAATGTGGCCAGTACAGTTGGTGGCCTCCACAGGGCCGTCGAACACGGGCATCAGGTCGACGCCCGCGGCCGCGGCGCGCGCAGTCTGGGCCTCGACGCTGTCGTCGCGGTTCGAGAGGAAGTCGGCGGTGGCGCCCATGAGGCGCGAGCTGGCGACGGCGGGCACGGCGACGCTGTTTGCGTAGCGGGCGGTGCAGCCCTCGTTCTGGCCGAAGACGTTGCCGCCGTAGTCGCCGCGCGCCGCCTGGTCCTTGACCGTGGCCAGCTGGTTGGCGATGCGGCCCACGTTGGGCTCGATGGAGCGCACGCCGCCCGCGACCAGCTGGTCGAAGAGCGCCAGGCCGGGGAACTGGGCGACGTTCTGTTGAAAGGGGGTGGAGTGGAGGTTAGCTGGGGAGTTTCGGACAAAATACGGGAGGAGGGATGCTGCGCACCTCGACCTGGTTCGAGCGGGCGTAGCCGTCGGGCACGGCGCTGTCGGCGTTGTACGCGTTGAGCCAGACCTGGTTGTCGGCCAGGCGGCCCGAGACGTTGTAGCCGGACGAGAAGTCAAAGTTGTGGGCGACCTCGTGGAGGTAGACGCCGATGGTGTCGACCTGGTTGAAGAAGACGACCTGGTTGCCCAGGGCGTAGGCGTGGGTGCTCGGGGCGGGCACGAGCATGACGTCCTTGGTCAGCTGCCGGAACTTGACGGGCACCTGGCCGAAGCGGAGCGCCAGCGTCTCGATCGAGGTCCGGCTGTCGGGGTGGCGGCAAAGGAGCCAGGGCATGGAAGGGCACTGTCCAGGGGAAGGGGAGGTCAGCTCATCTGCCCAAACGTCGGACCGGCACACACACACACACACACAACACAAAGCGGGATGCACACTCACGTCGCGGTACAGGACCTCGTACGTCACGATAGTCCGGGGGTCGAGCTTCTCCCGGTTGGCCAGGTCCCTGCAGCCGTCGGCGATGGTGCCGGCGGGCCACTGCTTGATGGTGTGGCCCGGCTGGCGCAGCGCCGCCTGCAGCTTCGGCCAGAAGGCGTCCAGGTCGCTCCGGAGCCCGGGCTTGCTCAGCGTCTGCGCGTCCGCCTCCAGGAACAGCCCGGCGGCGGCGACGAGGGCCGAGAGGAGGGAGGCGTGCTTTCCTGCGAACATGATGGAGGACGAGCGGGTACTCAAGACAGGTGGGGTATATATATATATATGCTGGAGGAAGTGCGGGAGCTTGCCGTTGTCGTCTCTGCTGCTTGGCCTGCTGCTGTCCTGCTTCCATCGTCGACGAGGATGAGAGGGAACGGTGCCCCTTTTATACCCCTATTCCTACGACCTTCACCGGCGTCGCTGCCTAGCATCTAGCATTTCGAAGCCGGAAGCCCACGACGGCCTCCTAGTCGCCAAGCCTCTCGTCGCCGTCGTCGACGACACTGGCTCTCATTTCATCCTGCATCACACCATTTGGAGCCAAGACATGCGGTCCAGGTGATGCTGGAGTATTGCCCGCGACGGCCCAGTGGTGTTGGCCCAGTCTGACCTTCATCCTGCCTTGTCAGTCTAGCTCTCGAGGCCGGCCAGGATCGTGGTCGCAGTATTGGCAAGGAAGGTAGCATCGAATGCAATCCGCGTTGAGGTGTGACTAGGGTTGAAATCCGTCTTCAGGCTGACTTTGCTGAGGGGCTCCGGCCTCACGACTGCTTCATTGGCCAGAGGCCGGTCCTGGCGAGCGCACGGTGGCGGCTCTGCTTATTCTCTCAGGGGGCCCCCAGAGCACAGCCCCATATACCTGGTCGACGTGGCGTGGAGAGGATGCCCAGGATCCAGACCGTTGCTTTTTCTTGGCTCCTGCAAGGCTCTTTTCGACCCTTTTACTCGGTAACAGAGCCCACGTTGCTTTGATGTCGTCGCTGAGACAGCAACCCTTCCGCCTGGTGATCCCTTCTGGGTGTGAGAACTCCTGCGGGAAGCACGCCAACGATCAAGAGGCCCGCCGGTCCGCGCCAACCGATTTCGGTACTATCCTCTGCCACGGAGCTCTGTCTTTTACTGATCACTAGGTAGCCGCCGGCAGCACACCCGATGCGGACCGAATACGCTGCAGGCACTAGTGATCCTTGGCGCAAATGCAACCCGCAAACACTAGGTAGGGCTGCGCGAAACTCCTCCTGCTGTTTAGAGCCTAGAGCCACCCCGCGCGTTGCATCGGGGCCGGCCGCGGTGGGCGAATCGGAAGCTTCGGGCTTTAGGTTGGTGGCCTCGGAATCTCGCATTTGGGAGCTGACCACAGGCAGCCGAGGGTGAGCACGAAATAGGAATTCTTGTCATGGTAAGGCCATTTGGGTGAAAAGCAGAAAAAAGCGTGCATGCCGTAGCATGGCGAGGTATATTGCAGACGAAATAGGAAAACAATAGTGATCAAATAGGATTCCATGCAAGCGCAGGGAGGCCAGGTTTAAAACAGGCCACATGAAGTGAATCGCCCCCACCGGGTAGCAGAATCATCTAGTAATATCCGCACTCTCTCATCCCCCCAGCTCCTACTTCTTGCACACGGGCAGGTTCACGACCTGGCCGGGCTGGAGGCTGAAGCGGTCGACGCCCGGGTTCGCACCCAGGATGGCGGCCTCGGTCAGGTCAAGCTGCTGCGAGAGCCCCACGAAGCTGTCGCCGGCCTTGATGACGCGCGTTGCGGGCCCGTTGGGGAGGCAGACGCGCGTGCCGGGCTTGGGCAGGCACGACTTGTCGTCGACGTTCTGGCGGCACAGTTTCGTCGGGACGCTGACCTCCTGGCCGAGCTGGAGCAGGTCGATGTTGGCGAGCTTGCTCTGTTTCGCGATGTTGCAGATGCCTGACTGGAACGTGGCGGCTAGCTTGGTGAGCGTGTCGCCCTGCACGATCTTGTGCTTGACCACGGGCCCGTTGGTCTTGCCGTCGGTGCAGACGGCGGTGCCATTCCGGGTGACGTTGGCGGCGAGCGGCGTGGCCCTCAGGAGGAGCGCTGCGGGGACGGGCGCCTGGGGAGGAGGAGGAGGAGGAGGAGTTAGCTTTGGGCGGGTTGGTAGGTATGTGTGGGGGACAGTGCAGGTCAGGGCAGGACAGGGCTGTTGCTCACCGGTGCTGGCATGGCAGCAGCTAGGCTCGCTAGGAGCGTGACGAGAGTGATGGGAACGGATGCAAGCATTTTGAGAAAAGAAGTACGCTCGGCGTGGAAGATGTTTATAAAGAGGTAGATATGCTTAAACCGAGAGAAATGCTCGCTGAAACGAATCCCGACCTTGCGGTTGTTGTCTTTGCCGATAAAAAGAGAACAGATACAGAATAATCTTCCATCAACACCCTGGAGGGAGGCGGGTCTGGTTTTTATCCATTGCCAAACCCATTTTATTGCCCTCCTCTAACACGCCGTTCCCACGCGGGGTTGCAAAGGCAACAAAAAAGGGAAGAATATGTTTCTCGATGTTCCCCAGACCCTTGCTATTCTTGAATGGCGTGGTGCCGCCGAGCCGAGGGCGCAGCGGTAGCAGGTCGGTGGACCCCAATTGTGTCAACAGGGGGCAGGGGCGCGGGTCCCTGGCCACGCCAAACCGAGCTGGTCCATGCACGTGGGGGAGGGGTACGTTGGATAGTCCAAGTGGAGAGAGACTGCTCGCTCCTCCAGGCTCGAGATTGTTGGGCTGTTGTCGACGCTCGGGACGTAAATGCGCCATCAAGTGGCCAACACCAGAAAGACATCGTGATCACTGCCGGTGGAGGCACAAACTGAAGCTCACGTCCTCACAGAAAACAGCCTGGCATCAAACGTGTTGGGGATAAATTGGCTGGTGAAGCCTGGGGCCAATGCCATGTCGCCAAGCCTCCGAGTATGGACAAAACGTCTCGACGACAAGCGTGAGGTGCAGCTAAAATAAGGTTTAAGGGGACATTTTGGGCTCTGGAAACGCTCAGCAGGGATGGCTGGTGCCGGCCGATCTGTGACGGCTGCGTGGGGAGGGAAGAGCTTGACACGTCAACCTGGTCCGCGCTTGTGCCTGCTTCTTGTGCCTGCTTCCCCCACGCGGCTGCCGATGATCCGGCTGGAGAGTCCACCACAGCCACAGCTGCACACGCATAAACGTGGTATTTATATACTGGCTTATGTACAGAGCTAAGGGTCTACCCAGCCAGTCTGGCGATGCCAAAGACGTGGGAGAGAGAGGCAGTGCTTTTGCGGGGAAAGGCGTGCGACTTCGACACGCGGGGCTGACTCGCCAAGGTGAGGCCAAAAAAAGATGGAATTCCCGTGATTGACCTTTAAGCCCTTGTTTGAGAGCTGGTTGCCGGCCCTAGCCGGATTTCAAGGGGCCGATAAAAACTCGTGCCTTGCCTACATCACAGCGTAGGAGGATGAGGTAGACAAGTGGTGAAAGGAGACTCTGTGATGAATGCTCGTGTGTTTTGACGATGATGCTAGCCCCACCTCCACCTCCACAATATAGGGCTACTGGGATCCTTACCCCTCCATCGGAAGATAGGCAACGTGCCTGAGTGGTTAAAGGGTGTGACTAGAAATCACATGGGTTCGCCCGCGTAGGTTCGAGTCCTGCCGTTGTCGAAATGTACAGTTTCCTTCCGATACCACCTTTTTTTCTTTCTTTTTTTTCTCCTTCCTCGTTTCCTTTGTTGTGTGTCCTCCGTGGACAGCTACCTGCCTCACCAATCAGCAATCGGCTGGTCCTGTCACTTTTTATCACTTCGTGCTCTTTTCAACCGAGCGAGTCTAGGGGCATGGTAGCCCGCAATACCTGCACCCCACCATTCAAACGGGAAATGCAGGGCGCGGACAGCCACCGCAACCTCTAGGCAGCATTATACAACCCTAGCGCCAATAAACCCGCATGCAATGGTGCAAAGCCCCGTGCTCAGCCCCAGCCGCCATACCTCCCGATGTCACTGCATTCAATCCAGCCGCCAATCCCAAGTGCAGCCCGTCCTCCTGGCGGAGGGGCAGCCTGTGAGGCAGCCTAGCAGCCTGCTTGACCGCGGCCAAGCAGACATGCCATAAATGTCTGGGGTAGCCCGCGAATCGCCTAAAGACGAGCCATGCGGCCAGCAACGTAGTTCTGCCCGGCCAGATCAAAGAAGGCAACAGCACCCTTACCACCATCATCATGGCTCTGAGCCTCGCGACCCTCCAGGAGGCGGTACTCTATATTCAACTTGCACTTAAAGTTTACAACGACATACAGGCAGTGCCCGGAGAGATTGCGGAGCTCAAAACCGAGCTGGAAGCCCTGGGCGCCCCTCTCAGCACCCTTACTAATCTCCTCAAGAATCCTAAAGAGACGGAGCCTTTGAGCCGGCTCGATAGTGACAGCCGAAAGGCACTTGTCGAGTCGGTCCAGGACGCCACCGCGGCCTGCAAGGAAGTCCACTCTGTCTTCAAAAACGTCGAGAGTCGCCATCTCGGGTTTCTGGGCGGCCACGACCTCCGGGCCCGCGCCGCATGGATTGCCAGGGCCTGGCATCGTTTCGGATTCGGCGCAGAGCAGGTCAACGGCTTGATGCGCAGAATCAAGACGCGCTGCCAGAGCATACAGTTCACCCTCTCCATCATCAACATCATACCGAAGAAGCGTCTGCAGGCAGAGATAGAGACGCAACAGAAGGAGAAGGCCGCGTTGGAGAGGAGCCGGAAGGAGATTCAGTTCCTGAAAAATGACGCGGCCAAGAAGGATGCACAGCTAAAGGCTATAAACGCTCGTTTGGAGGCCCTAATGGACTTGCACGCCAAGACGAAAGCTGAGGCGAAGAAGGCCAAAGAGCGGGAGTTCTTGGATACTGCAAGCGAAGTCTCCGGGCAGGCCAATGCCGCCAAACCGGCCAAAAAGGCCGAGAAGGGGGCTCCAGGGTCGGGTCAAATTTCGAGAACCTCCAGCATCGGCCCCAAAGTCATTCGGGGGGCTCCAAAGAGCAAGACGTCGGAGCAGAGGGTGAAGACAAACAAGGGCAAGGCTAAGATGACCAACGTGGGAACCAAACCTCCCGCTACCAAGCAGCCCCGACCCCAGCGCCCAACTACTCCCAAGACCACTACGGCTCCTCCCAAGACCACTACGGCTCCTCCCAAGGCCACTACGGCTCCTCCCAAAGCCACCACAATCCCCCCCAATGCTACCCCAAAAGCCATCACCACAATTGCCCCTAAAGCCACCACGAAGGCAAAAACTTCAAAACCTTCGCCATTGCCGCTCGTTCCCAAACAACCTCAGCCCTAGTCCCCAACTCTCCCCAAGCGTTCGCACGACCGGGGGCTCCAAGGCCTTCGCAATCACCGTCACGCGGCGGGAACTCGGTGCTCTTTGTAGACCCAGGTAATCGCGGGCGCTCCCTCGTGCGTCATGCCATGCTATCGCCACTGCACTATTCCACCTGTGGGAAGGGCGGCCGTTCCTTCATCGCGGCTGTGCACTCGGCCAGCTACTTTGTAGAGAGCCGGAGCAGCTGCATCGACGAGATCAGAAGTCACCCCCATGCCACGCCCAACTTCAACCTATTCATCGTCGCGGGCAACAGGAAGCCGTACCAGAAGGCGCTGGACCTCCTGCTCCAGTCCAGCTTGGACGGGTCGGACACGGCGCCGTGGTGGGAAGGATGCGGCCCCGCAAGCAAGGCGAGGCAGGAGAAGGAATTCCGGGCTGGCGGTCAGTGTGGACGCGACGCGAGCCCTTCAGCGAGTTCGACTACATCGTGCGCTTCACCCAGCGCGAGTAGGAGAACCTAGTGCAGCTCAAGAAGACCGTTATTGGTCATGACGTCTTCGGTGCGTGGCCCGAGGGCAAGAGACGGATTCTGCACTTGGGGATTTATCTACCCAAGGACAGCACGCCGCTCGGGAGATCCATCAGCCCGCAAACGTCGACGACGTTAGGGGGTGGAAGGCCACTATAGCGAAACTGAAGGCCGCTCTCGAGGGTTTTCTGGTGGAGGAGCTTCATTGGGACGAGTCGCAACTCGAGAGAAGCGGTGGCTAGTGCTTTTGGTATTTACTGTATAGCTTTTTCTTTGAACCTCTTGGCACCAGATTTTCCAGGGGCTGGGCGTACCCAACCCCAACCCTGCGTCGCCGCATTGACATATTAACACAGATGATCGCCAATGACATCATCAACTGGAGGTCGCCCCTTCCATGACAGCTCAGCCAGACCAACCACCAACCTCGCCTTTGTTTGCTTTGCCTCTGTTCCATTCTCTCCTCAATTCTATCTGCAGATGGACCACTTGGGCAAAACCGCCAAAAGCAAAGTCTTCGCCCTGCAAGCCGTACAGCTCTGAGCCATTCATATTCATACCCACGGCACAATGCACCGACTTTCCGCATCACTCCCTCGCCTCAGGGCGCTTGCACAGGCCCCGAGGCCCAGCCTGCCGTCACTGGCGATCAAATCGAGGCTAGTCTCAAACACGGCCAGGCCAGCCACAGGCAGCAGCACAAAGCATCACCGCACCTACGCGACCACATCAGCTCCCAAGGAGTCCGAGGGCCCCAGCGCCGAGTCGGGCGGCTCTCGCTCCAAGGACGCCGCTGCCGCCAACAGCAACAATAGCGACAGCACCGCTGACCCCGCGACGGCAGGCATCGACACGCTGGCGGAGCGGTCGGCCAAGGGCCAGACGGGCGGTGGCGACCCGCTTGAGAGCACGTCGGAGAACGCGCCGCCCAAGCCCAAGATCTCCAACGCGAGCGTGCCCGGCAACTCGGGCATGGACACCCTGACGGAGGAGCAGAGGCGCGAGGTCGAGCAGCACAACCGCGATTTCGAGAAGAGACACGACCGCGCCACGCCGGCCGAGAAGGACAAGGTCAACAAGGAGTTCTGGAGCGGCGGCGGGACTAGGGAGGAGCCGGGGACAAAGTAGAGATCGCGGCAGCGGCTTCCTTCCTGTGCAGCTAGGGGTTTCCGTCAAGGTCTGACGCCTTGTTCTTCTGGCTTTTCTAGAGGTCGGGGACGCATTTCTGACGGAAGGGCTGTGGATGATGTCATCCAACGCCGGGAAATAATAGGTTTACGTCACTAAAGTTCTTCTGTTTAATCCAAGATGATCTCGGCATGGTGATAAGAAAATGCATATAACTCTCATGATACGCCCACGGCCATGTAGTCCAAGCTCAGCCAAAGGTGAACTAATGCCACCAACCACCAACATAGAGCAACAACAGAGGAGCACCAACAAAGTGACGGTAGAGCCAGAGACGGGTAACGACAATAATCAGAACCAAGTGGAAAGTGGACCAGTTACTGGTGATGCCCCCGGGCGGGAGCAACAGGTCCACGCCACACAGAGCAAACCAGATGGGAAAAAGGCGCGCCTACGGTAAAGCGGGACATGGACCTGGACGTGGATATCGAGCTCAAAGCCAAGATTCAGGGGGATCTCACACTGGTTATCCTGTAAGTTGCCTAGATGGCGTATTCCCTCATCAACGACCCCCTACTAACGACTCATCATTGCCGCGCAACACAGGGACGAAGACGAGACCACCCAGAATAACAACCGCGGCGGGCCTCCCAGAATCGATGCAGCCAAGCCCGGACCGCCAGGATGAGATGAACGGACTGTCGACGACGCAGGGCCCAGAGTCGCAGGCGCAAGACTCAGGAAACGGCGACACGGTGACCACGGTCGCGCACGACGACGCCGGCGGCCGCCGCTTCCGCCGTTGTTGTCGCCGCCGCCGCCACGGCATCCCCTCGGAGCGCTACCCTCCGCCGGCGGCTGCTACACCACGTCCCGCTCGCAGCCGTGCCCCGGGGGGCCGACGTTGGCGGAGCGGTACGTGGTGTAGCAGCCGATGCCGGCGCAGGCGGCGCTGTTGACACCGCACGGGAAGGCGGTGGTGACGGTGGGCACGGCGGCGGGGCAGCCGCAGCGGTTGCGGATCGTGGAGAAGACGGCGCAGTCGAGGCGCAGGCACGTCGAGCACACGGTGGCGGTCGCCGTCACGGTCGGGCAGCCGCCCGCGCCCGGCGGGGTCGGGTCGGGCCAGGGGTTCACGCTGCTGGTGACGAGCTGGGCCGCGGTAATGCTGGGGGTGGGAGGTTTGGGGGTGGTGGTTTGTTAGATAGAAGGCGAAGGGGGGTAGGTATCGATGGTAGGAGACCTTACGCGCCAAAACAGGAGACGACCACTGCCAACGACAGCCCCTGAACTCTTGTAATCTTGTTTTCGTGCCGCATTTTGTAAAATAAAAAAAGGTGAATAGGCTATCCAGATCCCAGTGCCTGCTGAGGAAGCAACGGCGCTGGAGCAACAGGCTGGTTTTAATACCCAAGCTTATAGGCCATGACGCCGTCTTATACACAAAGGGGCCAGAACCAGGCGACACACAGTCCAAGATTCGTGCTAGCCGGGAGCCGTGAATGAGATGCGGGGGATCGATGGCAATCTATCCATGAACTCCTCGTTACGTAGCAGAGATGGAGAGTTAGCTACCGGGTGTTACCATCAGGTACTCGGGTGTGCTCCATTGGTCAGACGTGGACTCGATGCTCGGCGTGCAATTTGTCGATATTGCGTGCCGCGCAGGACGCCAACGGTCTACTGGCAGCAAATATCACCAGCACAACCGGGGGTCCATTCAGAGTTGTGCCCATTTTCGTGCGGCTTTTGGGAGCGGGGGAGTGGCAGTCAGGTCTCTTTGCCTAAAGTCATGGTTTATTTGGGGGGCCCATGAGAGGGCTTGTGTATCACGCAAAGATGTCAAGTTAATCAAGTCACATGTATTCTCACTTGACCGGCACAAGCGGGAGCGCCATCTTATTTGGCGGCCCTCTCCTGCTCCGCCTCGTCGACAACCTTTTTCACGACGCTGTCGAGATCCTCCTCCTCCAACCCGAGCAGCTTCATGGCGAAATCTCCCTTCTGCTCCCAGTCGCCCTCGATGACGCCGAGGGCGAAGACGAGGTCCTCGATGGCGGCCACGCTGCCGGCGTCGCGGAGCGCCACGTACTTTGCCACAAACTCGGCCGACGTCGTCTCCACGCGGGTCCACGGCGCGCCCGACGCCCTCTCGAGCGACTCCAGCAGGCGGTTCTGACTGATGCAGAAGCTCTGCACAAACAGCACGCGGTTGGACGCGGCGTCGGGCTCGCGCAGCACCGCGACGACGGCGCGCGCCACCTGCGCCAGCGTGGACAGCGAGCTGCGCCTCTCGCCGTCGTCCAGCACGTCCATGGTTCGGGCCGCCAGGTCCGCGTGCAGGAACCCCTCCCTCAGCCCCCAGTCGAAGAAGTGGCCGCACACGATGCTGGTCCACGTGAAGGACGGCTGTTTTGCCGCGAGTTCTGCAAGCAGGACGCGCACCGCCTCCTTGCGCGAAAAGAGCGGCACCAGCTCGCGCGCCTGCTCGCTGCGGGCGTCGACGCTGCCCCAGTCGGCGGGCATGTAGCGCGCCACGCCGGCGGCGGCGGCGGCGGACGCGAGGGCCAGGTGGGCGCGCGGCGGGTCGCCCTTGACCGAGAAGCACGCCACCACGGCGTCCTCGCCGCGCAGCGCCGCCGTCAGGTCTGCCTCGGCCCAGGCGTCGGGGACCGTGACGGTGCGGAAGGCGGAGGGGTCGGTGCTGGACGGCGGCGAGGACGACGAGGTCGAGCCCTCGCGCTTGAGGACGGTGATGCGGAAGCAGCCGGCGCCGACTAGGGCAGCCAGGACGGCGCCGCCGAGGTGGCCGCTAGCCCCGACGAGGGTAACATTTTTTATTTGCATTTTG